GAATTGCTGAACGGGTTGGCAGAAACCCTCCAGGTTTTGCTCAGGTGTGTTGAGTCTTACCTGGAAACACCAGGTGGGGATTGAGTTAAGGACCTGTTGCCTGCCTGTAAAGCATATGGACAGCTGGCAAGTCTCGTCCCTTCTGTAAATGGACGTATGTGTATGTTGCAAAGATCGGTATGTTGTTCTGCAGACAGATATTGCCCATTGCAATATTGTGACCTTCTCACAAGCAGAGTTTTCTTCCACAGATCACAAGAGACTGTTTCTCCATTGGAATGAGTGGCAGCCATTCATGGATAGGAGCAGAAGTAAAACCCAGGGGCCCTGTTTTCAAGCTGGAGGAGGAAATCTGACTTTAGTCCTAGAATGAAAAGCAGGTTTTAACCTCATTTTATGAGCATTCCTTCTGATTGAAAACAGGTTAGCCTATAGCAGCAACTCATACCTCCTGATCTGATACAGGTATTCCTTGATTTACAACCGTTCATTTAGTGACCATTCAAACTTACAATGCCATGTAAAAAGTGACTCATGACCGTTTTTCACACTTACGACCATTGCAGCATCCCTCATGGTAACGTGGTCAAAATTCAGACGCTTAGCAACTGACTCATATTTATGACAGTTGCAGTGCCCTGGGGTCATGTGATCACCTTTTGTGACCTTCTGATAAGCAGTGGGGAAGCCAGATTCACTTAATAACCATGTTATTAATTTAATAACTGCATTGATTCACTTAACAACTGTGGCAAGGAAAGTCTTAAAATGAGGCAAAACTCAATAAATGTCTCATTTAGCAACATAAATTTTGGGCTCAATTGTGGGTCGTACCTTGAGGAGTACCTATATATGTACATAATTTTATTTATATTTTTAAGCAAGAAGATGAAAATGAATACAAACTAATATAGAGAAGGGAAAAGAAAAAGAAATAAAAGAAAAAGCAAGAAGTATAAGAAAGAACAAAGATCGACGAAAAATAAAAAAAAGATATAGAAAAGTGGTTTCTGGTGTTTTTCACAGCAGGTATAAGTAGAAATATATTTTAACCTTTCTCTCTAATGTTACATCATATTCTTTCTCTTTCTGATAATGGGCAATCCTTAATAAAATTCATTTCCCAGGACACCGATGTGTTGCCTGTGAATTTAATTTGGAATGGGCAGAAAATAATGTCCCTGGTTTGGGAAAAAGGCTTTCCTGATTTCAGAACTGGTTTCTTTCATTAAAAAAAAAAAAAAAACTTTTTCTACTCGTCCCCTGAGCCTACTTTTACTTTGGCACAATCCACCACGACAAGTTAGAATTAACTTAATAAAGACAAGAACTTCCAGCCGGCCTGCTGGTTGGACAAAGCTGAAGCTGTTCTGTTTTTCCTCTTGTGGTGCCCTCTTCTTCTGCCTATTTCTTTTTGGTTTGGCTGATATTTATGTGTGTATACGTGCATGCGGGTGCCTGTGAGTTTGTTTTCACTTTGGCTCTTCTCCCAAGGATCTGTGGAGTGCAAAAGTGCCAGATTGTATCAAAAATTATAAAAGCAAGTGTTTTGCCTGCTGTTGGGTGGTTTGGTGGGCTTGTTACTAAGTGTCTGGAGGGAAACGGTGTGATTAGTGGTTTTGCTGTATGGGGTGGAATTTTAAGCTGGCTTCCTTCTGAAGAGTTTGTTGATGGGAACAAGGAGAGGATAACTGGGTGAATTGGTTTGCCACTGCCCACAATTCAGATTCTGTAGACTACGACGAGCCATTTTCAGCTTTGCAAAATGCCCATGGTCCAAGAAAGCAAGAGAATCTGCAAATGTCTTTAAAAAGAGTAGTCTGTCTTTAACACAGGTAGTCCTCGAGTTACAACCACACTTGAGCCCAAAATTTCTGTTGCTGAATTAAGTGAGTTTTGCTCCATTTTACCACCTTTCTTGCCACAGTTGTTAAGTGAATCACTGCAGTTGATGAGTTAGTAACACAGTTGTTAAGTGAACCTGGCTTCCCCATTGACCTTGCTTATCAGATGGTCTCAAAAAGTGATTTCATGACCCCGGGGACACTGCAACCGTCGTAAATATGAGCATCTGCCAAGGATCTGAATTTTGATCACGTTGTCATGGGGATGCTGCAACGGTTGTAAGTTTGAAAAATGGTCATAAGTCACATTTTTCAGCACCGTTGTAACTTCAAACAGCCACTAAACAAACTGTTGTAAGTCGAGAACTACCTGTACTTTCCCCTCTATCTCAGTAGCTGGAAGCTTTTTAAATGAAATATGTGATTCTCAGGTCTTCTCCTAGCTGAGGCATAATGTTACTTAATTGAAGTGCGCAGAATGAACTCCCTATTCAGTGCCACTCAATGTCTAGAGGAGGGGGAGAAGGTGGTTAATTACCCTTCTCTAGCCTGTCCCACCACAGCAGGTGGCAACACCTTCTTGACCATGGCTGATCTTGGGGGAAAAAATAATCAACTAGATCAGACAAGCTTAGTGTTTGATGGGAAACCACCAAAGCTGTAGGCCAAATTGGGAAGTTTAAAAAAATCCTAAAAGAATGTAATGCCAAATTCCTTCCATATTATTGGCAAAAACAAAACAAAACACCCCAGCATAGATATGTTGTTTGGTCAGCTCACTAAGATAACTTAACTGGATTTGAGGATGTCTACATCTTCATTTTAATCATTCTCAAAGATTTAATAAAGTTTGGAGCCTTGCTAATTTTCCCTGGAGAGGAGCAGTTTTGTTTAGGAAGCAACTGTGCATTCTGGATTCTGGATATTCCAGGCTGCTAAACTGATTGACTGGTTGATTTGAAATATTTCTTGTAGCTAGCATTTCAAGAGCCAGGGAAATGTAGAGATGAAAGTGTGGGATGAGGAGCAGGAAAATCCCGATTTAGCCCCCACCACTACCCTCAGCCATGGAAGCTCACATAATGATTTGGAGCCTGTCACACACATTCAATCATAGTTACTTCTATAGGTTTGTTGTTGGGAGGGAAAAGAGAAGGGAGTGCTGCCTTGATCTCCTGAATGAAATATAGAATATAAATCAAATGAATAGTGGGGTGGGTGGAAATTAAGTTTAGAAAATGAGACCTGCATTTTTTTCTCTCACCTGTGTTCATTCTGTGGCTGGAAAAAAGGCCCCTTACTTCTTCCTAGCTTCACATTCTGTTTCATTCTCCACTCTCCACTTGTAATACCTGTCAATCCGTGATCCATCTTTTTCTTCTTTTTTTCTTTAACCTATGTGATGCTGCTCAATCACTAGGATTGCAACCTTCTAAAATTTTCCCCTAAGTGTCATCATCTTTAGCAAATTAAGTGGGTATCTGTCAAAGAAAGGCCGTTCTTTGTACTATTAGCACAGTTGTAAAATTAAACAGCCTTCCTGGAGTTGTTCAACTGCAATTTTTCCTGCTGTTTTCTAGTTAATAGATAGAATCTATTTATTGGTTAGAATTTTGGGCAAGTAACAGCATGATTTTTTTGGTATTAATTGTCTACATATTTTCCTCCTGGTAATTTGTTTTATGTATGATATGATATGTGTTTGCGCATGCGTGGGTGTTTGATTGCATGGTGCCTTGGTTTTATTGGAATATACATCACAAAGGCGGAAAGATAAGCTATCATTGTTTTAAACTGAAATGCAAGATAAATTCCATAACAATGCATGAAGGGAGCCATCATCTTGTGCAAAACTTACATTATTTGTTTGTATAAATTAGTTCACATCCAAGATGTGAGACATGTTCAGGTTGGTCGGTTTGCGAGTATCTTGGCAGAATTAGGATCGAGACTGATACATGACTTTCTAGAAAACATGGATGCTCAAAGAACCTACTTCTGTCCCTTGTCCTACAGATTCTTTTTTTTCACGTTAAAAATAAAATATTCAAGAGTTTCTCAGTACGTGCACAGTTGTATTGAACTTCATCATATGCAATAAAGTGGCTAAACTGATAAAGAATTTAAATTGGTAAGCAGGCAAGAGAGGAAGATAGAGTAGTTATATAGAGTAGGCTTTACATATGAGACAAATACCTCAATCAATTAGCAATTGTAACATGTCAGAAATCAGTTGGGCTTTCTGAAGCCTCCTAAGACTGCCTGAAAACTTTTGATGTATGCGAGTTCAGCAGTGGTTGACTGAACACCAAAGTCCCATTCTCATATTAACTAATAGCAGTGGTGGGATTCAGCCAGTTTACACCACTTCGGGAGAACCGGTTGTTAACTTTCTGAGCAATTTTGGCAAACTGGTTGTTGGAAGAAATCATTAGGGCAGAGAACCGGTTGTTAAATTACTTGAATCCCACCACTGACAAATAGGCAATGTTTAATTTGAAAATTATTATTTCCAATTTCAAGATACAATGTAGAGCATAGTTTCCCTTTAAAAATAGTATTTAGACATAATGCCCTTTTGTAATGTCCTCTATAGATACATGTGATAACATTTTGCCAAGGGTTTTTTTTAGTAACCGCTGTCTTTCTTCTCTTCTGGGAAGATTTTCAGTTTCCCAGTCTAGATGCATTACTTACTATTTCCTGGTTGTCGCCCTCTAAATAGTCACCAGGCCCAACCCTGCTTGGTGTTGAACCCAGAGGAGGTCAGCCAGGTGCTGCCACCTGCTTTTTAAATGCAAAAATACATACTTATTCAATTTGGTAAATTTTCCTCCCTCTGTTAGTTCTGAAGTTCTTTGATGTGCATGCCAGCCGAGGAACAGCAGATCAGATGCATGAGAGTTTATCAAATTCAAATTACTCCAAGCATCTTTTATCTAGAATGTAGGAGGACTGCTAAGCATTGCAGGTGAAGAGTGGGAATGAAGGGTTGGGCAGTATTCTGAGGCACTAGGACATTTCTGATTCAAATGTTTGGAGTGGGAAAAGCTTGGGTTCTAGAAAAAGGAACTCCAGCATGGAACATGACTTATGGACGAGTTAGATTTTCATGAAGTGGGGCAGGTATTAAACAAATCTTTTCTTCTGTTTCAGGAGGTGCTGTGAAGCTCTGCGTCTCCCTGCAGGTTCCCCAGACCATCCCCATGGACCTGCGGATTGGACAGCGTCTTGCCAAACCCAGCCCAGATACTGCCTTACTGGCCCTGAAGCAGACACAGCAGCTCCAGCACCAGTTCTTCCTAGCAAGCTTACATCAACAGCAAGTGGAACAGCTTACTCGCCCGCACTTGCGGGTTAGTTCGGCCATTGTGTTGTTTAGGGTCAACCTGGGAAATAAGAGAGGGGAGGTGCAGATATAGTCCAGGGAGAAGATACTCTCAGGTCCAACATTGTCTTGAGATTTTTTAAAGTTTCCTGGAAAAAGATTGATACAGAAATATGAAATGGATACAGATTTAACGTGAAACCCACATTAGGCAATATATTGAGATGAAATCATGTAACAGGCATTATACAGGTGTAGATCAACCCCTTCACAGCAGCTCAGAGTTTCTTGGCAAGGTTCAGGTTTCTAGACTAAAATCTCTAAACTTACTTGAACGTCTGTTTGTAGGTCAGAGGTCATTCAATGACTAATTGGCCATCATAAGAACTGGCTTATGGGATGAGATCTAGAGGCACTTATAGAATCTATAAATTAGCAGGTAGAAATTGCAACCAAACATGATTTCACTTGGATTGATGCCTGGAATGCTCCTTCCAACCTGTACTCTCTAAATCAGGGGTCTCCAACCTTGGCAACTTTAAGACTTGTGGACTTCAACTCCCAGAGTTCCTCAGCCAGCAAACCCAAGACTTAAAGTTGCCAAGGTTGGAGACCCCTGCTGTAGATTCTTGGACAGCATATCTCATTGGTTTCAGCTACAATGATGGAGATGATGGGTGAAAAATATGCTGGCAGGCATCAGTTTGAGAAAGGAAGTTTAAAATTTTATTTTTATTATTTATAATAAAGAGAATCACTTTTAGGCATGAAAACATGTGCTATCAACCAGCAGCCCTTTCCATCTTAGTGATGGATCAGCCTTGGCAAGAAAAACTGCCGTTGCTTTGAGATCTCTCATGTCCCACCAATGTCTCTCATTGCTGGAAGGGAAGTACAAGAATGGGGAAGGCAACTTATGACACCATGACAGATTTGTAGCTTTTAATGGACACCTATAGAGACTCTCCAGTCTACAAGTGCATTTGGCTACTAGGACCAAATTAATTGGCAGGAATCTGTTGATTGTCTCCTTTCTGACCATAAGATCACTGTCACCTTGGGATGCCCCTTAGGTTCCAACTGCTCTGATCTACTTGCTCAGTTTTGCACAGGTATACAGTGTCCTCAACCAAATCTGCTCCTTCAAACCTCCTGACCTCTCTGCTAGTAGATGCAGTTTGTCTCTTGGCATGGCTTGTGATCCGCTTGCTCAACACCTCCCCACTGTCCCCATTTTGACAGTGTGGAATGGGCTCAGATGTTGTCTGAGCTGTCCTGGTGGCAGCTGCCATCAGTAACTCCCCTGAGCTAGGAATTGGGGAAACTTATCCTCCTGAGCCAGATTCGTCCGATGACCTGCCTTATCATAGTTTCTTTCTGGTCAAAGAAATGACCAGCCATTGTTTTATATGCCCGATCATTTTTTTTTTCATTTATCTTTTGCAGGTGCCCATGGATCCCCCACCCCAAGACACCGTCCCTGGAAAACAGGAACAGGAGCTGCGGCTGCTCTTGAATAAAGACAAAAGCAAACGCAGTAAGAGGTTTTCCATTCTCTCTTTCCCCTTTCTCCCTTAAGAGTGCTTCATGGCTATGCCAGAAATTTCATTCACCCAGGTATCTCTCTTGACTTTTGCTTTCCTTCTTGGATTTGGAGAAAAATTGTTGCCCATGCTGTGTGCCATATCCAAGTATTTTATTGACTATTGTTTTTATGGCATATGACACAGGTCTATTGAAAAATAATTGATTTTGATTAGTAGTTGGATAGGAAAACATTAGAAAAATCCCAGAGTTCTATGTGAGGAGGGGTAGGATACCCCAAAAGAAGGCAATGGAAAATTACATTTGTCCTGGTGCCAAGGATCAATATGCATCTACCGTATTCTTGTGGACACTAGGAGCTGACCTCAGCTCAAGAAAATTTTCGTTTGGTATTGAATCTTGGGGTTCTATTAAAATAATTGATATGGCAGTACCAGGGAAGACAAAGAATTGGAGAAATCACAAAGTATCAAGATCTGAAAATTGAAGTTGAAAGTTTATGGCATAAATCAGCCATGCTAGTCCCTGTCATTATTGCAACATTGAATGTTGTACCAAAAAAAATTGGACCGCACTTAGAAAATCTGCACATTGACAACATTTTCATCTGTCAATTACTTAAGGCCGCACTGCTTGGCTCCACAAACATACTACTGCCAATACATTACAACATTCTATGTTCTTGGGAAGAATTCAATGTGTATGAAGGCCAATGCCAGCTAAAGAACTGGCAGCTATTACTTCACCTTGTGTATATGTATAATAAAAATAGTAATAGCTGGAGACAACTAAATCAAAGAGAAAGAACTGGAGAAAATCCAAAAATACAAAGATCTGCAAATAGAAGTAGATCGATTGTGGCAAAAGAAAACAAAAATAGTACCAGTCCCAAGTCCATGAAAAAAGACTCGATAGGTGGTTAAAAATGCCAAAAATCTAGTCTAAACATCTTCCTGACTGTGCAATCAACCATCATCATCATTAAAATAATTATAGTTTATTAAACCTATATGCTGTTCAATTCTCAATGACTCGGGGTGGCTTACAACAATCAAAAATACAAAACAATCTATAGTATAGAAATGTTGGTAAAAAAAAAAATTCCTACGCACAGGCTTATGTAGCTAAACATCCCAAACATAAGAGTGCCAGAATGTGGGTAGGCAGAAGACAAAAAACAGGTTTTGTTATCTGTAATAATTTGTGAAAGAGATCTGCCCTGATTTTAAGCAGATAAAGAAAAAAATATTGGCATCTGGTGGCATTATAAAGACTAACTCCTTTATGCTTGCAAAACCTTTTGAGGTTGTTTGTATCTGATGCTACAGTAAAATACAATAGATGTCAGAACAGGAACCGTGCAAAACTGCAGTCAGCCAAAAGTCTTTTTCCTGGCTTGCTCTATACTTTATTAAAGTTCCTGAGCTAAATTCAATCCCAATTCCTTGTGGGGTTTTGTCTCTTGGTTTGCAGAATTAGAATCAGACGTTCATGTTCCTGGGATCCATCTCACGATGCTACCTAAAGGTTGGCTCTGTGTTACCATGTCCCAGGGAGACTATTCCTGAATAGAAATATTAGACAAGACGATAAAATAAAGGGTATAAGTATTAAGAAAGAAACTTACACGTTGAGGGTTATAATTTTACAGGATCCAAAAAATAATATAGAATACTGGATGAGGAAATTGAATGAGTTTGGGGCTTTGGCAGGTTTCAAAATAAACAAACAAAAAACAACAATGCCGACCAAGAATATGTCTTCTCAAGATAATGATAGATTCAGTAGTGGGATTCAAACAATTTAACAACTGGTTCTCTGCCCTAATGACCGGCTGGGTGGGCGTGGCCAGGGAGTGTGACAGGCAACACTTGGCCTCCTGTACCCCCCTGGGAGCAACAACTGGCCGTGGTGGGATGGTGCTGTCCCCCACCCAGCACCCCGTTTTGGGCCTAGTAGGCCTCCCTGCAGCCTCCTGGGAGCAAAAATGGGCCACGGGGCTGCGCCGCATCCATCCCCCCTGCGTCCTCTTTTGGGCCTAGTAGGCCTCCCTGCACTTACATGGGAGCCAAAATGGGGCACGTGGGGACTCCTGGAAGGGGCAGGGAGGGGAGGGAAGGGGAGGGGCCAGGCCAGCCAGCAATTTAACTACCGGTTCGCCCAAATCTGCTGAATTTCACCACTGATATATTGAATAAAAAGTTGGGTTTTAGGGTTGAGAAAAAGGTGAAGTATTTAGAAGTTATGATGACAAATGCAAATGTAAAACTGTTTCAAAATAATGATGTCCCCCTTTGGAGGGATATTAAACAGGATTTACAAAGATGGGATAAATTGCATTTATCACTATCGGGTAGAATTTCTGTAATTAAGATGAATATTTTACCAAAGATGCTTTTTTAAAATTTTACTCTTGTTTTTAAAGAAAAACTAATCAGATCTTGGGGTCATGCAGCAGAATCTGAGGGACAACGTTAGCAGTTTCATTAAAATATAAAATGGTTGCTTTTTATCATAAGAGCACATGTCTGCATGGAAGGAATTTTGAAAGTCTAATCAACCTCCCCATTAAGATTTTCTTTTAAGATTCTGGTAATAATTTAGTTCTCACTGATGCCACCCTTGTGAGTGGGACTATATAGTTCAGTATCTGTTTTGTCCCTTCCGTGGGGATAAAAGGTAGTTTGAAGCCTTAGGATATCTAGCCAAAATTTGGGAAAAGGTGAACTTGCAAACTGAGAGGGTCACTGTGAAAGAACAGAGCTAATACTGAATCAGATTGATTCATGGTCTCTCTTGGCTTCAGGCACCTTTCTAAGTTACGTACTTTTAAAAAAAAAAATTCCAAACCTTCATGAATGAATGAAGAATACAGAAATGGTATGTGTATGTGTGTGAACATAAATACATAAAGATATAGGTGTAAACTTTACATACCCATATACAATATATCTATACATACATACATGCACATATATAGATGCATGAATATATATATATATGCACATATATATTTACATATACATAGATGCATAGATACATGCATTTACACATACATATACAGACATTCATACGCACATAAGTATGCATGCATATACATTGCATGTGAGTGTGTATATATATATATATATATATATATATATATGAATGTTGATTATATGATATAATGCTGTTCAATAAGAGCTGAGGCTGTACTAGAGGTCATTTTAGTCATTTCCCTGTCCCCATATTTTGATAAATAAGATACCATTTTCTTCCCTCCCTGTGTATTTTAAGTTCCCCCATTGCCCTTTTTCATAAAACCATTATTTTGAAAATATGTTACGAGCACATGGCCCAGTATAGGCACTGGGAGAAGAGCTGAAACGTCAAAACACCATCAAGGCCCTCTTCTGTGTTTGAAATGTGTATCTGTGAGCAGGATGGACTGTATATCTTTTTCGTACTCCATAAGGGCTACTTCTGAGTTGAAACACAGCAGGGGCCAAACCAGGAAATGGGAGAAAATGAAAACAAGCCAATCTCTCTCCTGCTCCTCCGGTGCTGTTTTTCTCTAACCTCTTTATCGCTATTTCCATCTCTTCCTGTCTGTCTGGCATGCAGGCATCATGATAAGACTGGCTAAAAGTGTATGTTTTTACGTGTGTGTGTGTGTGTGTGTGTGTGTGTGTGTGTGTGTGTGTGTGTGTCTTGTAAAGTAACTATCATAATAAAAGAAGAATCCCACAAGCATTGAAAAACTATTGGTTAAGGTCTCCTCAGCTGCTACTCAGTACCCGCAACACTGATGTGAAATTGATAGAGCATCCAAATGTTATGCTGCCCCGCTGCCGAGCTGGGCAGAGAAATAGATGTTAGTACGTTGGCACCGTTCAGAATGGACCATTTTGAAAAAGGATGAGTTGGCATATCACAGCATCATGGTGTGTGAAAAGATTGGCAGTTTGGGTACTTAGTGGCAATCTTTCCTTGCTAACCGTTTTGCGGGGCAAGGGAATGATGAGGTGTGTATGATGATGTCATTGTACAAATGCCACACTTTATGTACTTGTTTCTCACATCCGACTGCAAGTACATTACGGTGACATTTGAGTGATGACAACATTGTGGGTTTGCTGTCTAGGCCACTACATAGAACCAAGCATGGTATCTACTCCGTTGCTACAACAGGAAGCAAAGAGAGTCATGGAACACGAAACAAACTTGTGGCTATCAGCTGAACCAATGAAAGGCCTGCTTGGGAGTGACAAAGAAGGAACATAAGGGAGCCAGAAACAGGGTTCCCTCCACTAATTTTGATTGCATCAGTTGCCAGCATAAGTTGAGAAGATGCGGTGAGGTAGCTGGATCTTCCAGAAGCTCCAACCTCTACATGTTCTATTCAGATAATGAGAACATTACCATAATAGGTCATTCCAAGCCTATCAGGAATGATCTGGCCTGAAAAATGGTTTTGTTTTCCCCTAGAAAACAGCATATTCTGAGGTCGGAATATTTCAGGTATGCTTGATGTTGACCTCAAGCATTTTACATACCACTGCTTGCTGGAGCATGCCCTGTTTCATTCTGCATTCTGCCTTTAGCTTTTTCAGATCAGAATAGTATCCTTATCAGATAGTCTTCAGATCTGATATCAGATCTGAGAATAGTTGTAACAGGCTGATGAGCAACAAGAAGTCAAGGAGTGATCTTGAGGACATTGTGTCTCTTATTCAATCACAGTGAGGCAAGGGAATCAGTAATCTGCGTAGCTCACCCTGTTGCCCTTTTGACAGGATATCCTGTGTGTCAAGCGCTCCTGGCAGTTGCCTACCCTAACTTTTTCGGAAACTGCTTAGGGCAGAGAAGGTCCTCTTTGTGGCCTCCCAGTTGAAAAAGAATATCTCAGATATTGATAAGCAACATATCTAGAGATCGGTTAGTTTTTCCAATGCTGCATAAAATGCCTTTGGCTATTTTCTTTGCACTCACTTTGCACTCATAAAGATTGGTGTCTGGATAGACTCCAAATAATGGGGAGATAATCAGCAGTGATCACTGCAAAATCATGTCACAAACGCTGCCAATTTCACATCGAAGTGATAGGATAGAGCCCAACCTTAAGCCAGATCTTAACTGCAAGGGTAGATGCTTTAGGATGTGATTTTTTTTTAATTTTTACAATTTTCCTTTTCGGATATTTTTTTTTAAAGTCAGAGGTAGCTGGCAGTTGGTTGCACTTACAAATTCAGTGAATAAATAAATGAGCAATATTTGCAACATACTATCCATTCTGTGTGCTTCCAAGCTTTCAGAACATTCTGAGACTCAGAGCAGCATTTTCCGATATTTCAATAATGTAAAGGTTTGTTAATATTAAAACTAGCATCTTTGGGAAATTCTTGGAATTGGATTCTCGACATTTCTAGTAGGTATCAAGGCAAACAGATCAGTCTTTCCCAACCTGATGCCTGTTAGAAATGTTGAGACTGCAACACCGAGAATTTCCCAGGATATTTATTTTAATCAGCTAGGCTGGGGAATTCTAAAAGTTGTAGATCCTATACATCTGAAGATCATCAAGTCTGGGAAAAGCGATTTTAGATGTAGGTCATTCCTCTTGTCTCAATTAAGTGGCGTAACTTTATGACGGGAATGAACTGCATGCTTAGGAGTTGTCTTGCCTCAATATGACTCACCAATGTGATTTCATTGCTTGTAATGCCTGAAGGTAGAATCATACCAAAATAGGATAAGTATCAGTTTGTTGGTCCGTTCTTTGGCTGATTTAAAGGCAGGTATGAACTGATCAGAGTTCTCTCCTGATCCGGCAGTCCTGTCAGAATTAGATTCCTACCTTACCTGCCTACTCTAAAGAAGAGGAAATCTCCCATTGATTCCACAAAGAGCTTTCCTTTCAATGCAAGTACTGTAGGTAAAAAAAAAAAAAAAAACAAGAATCACAGCAATTCAACAGATTTTTTTTTTAAAAAAAAAAATCCCAGCTGGGATGTTTCTAACTAAGCAAAGCCATTTTTCATGTTAAGTGAACACACCTGATTTGGCTTGTGGCGACCTTTCCTATGATTTTTACCTCGATGATACAGAAAAGTGGTTTGTTTTTCTCTTTGCTTGTTCCTGCAGGCTTTTTTCACGGACAAGATCTTCAGCCCTTATTTCAGATTTCTGGTAAAGAATCAGAAGAGGAAAAACAAAACATGCACAGCTATTCTGTCACTAAATTTGCACTATGATCTTGGGCATCACATGGAGGGTTAGGGACAACCCTCCTACAGGTTGCCCATAACAGATTTAGTACTAGATTTTTTTTGAATGTGCTTCATTGGTCATCAGGGAAGATGTAAGTCAAGCAAGTCCTGAGTGGGGGGGGAGGGGGATCAAGATTGGTCACAAACTAATTGTTCCATATGTGTGTGCGCATGTGTGTGTATACACACACACACACACACACACACACACACACACACACATATATATATATAAAGTATTTTTCTATTGAGACAACTGGTCTAACCCAGCATGTGGGAGGGAGCATACGGCATCCCTTTTGCCTTTCAGCTCCAATCCAGGAGCCCTCAAGGAGTCGCATTCACAACAAATCATTGTATACCAAATTCGAATCCAAGTAAGGGTATGGCTAGCTGATGAGAGCTAAATAGCTTGAAATAGATCTATACTGGTCTCCCTTTATTTCTTTATCAGCGAAATATAAATTATGTGTGTGTGTGTGTGTGTGAGATAAAAAAATTGATATTTTTGTTCACACCAAACCTAGATGTGATCCCCCGGATTACCTTAACCTTGGCAGTAGCAGCGTTTCTTCTAAGCAAGAGGACCATCCCTACTAGTTATCATATTTCACTTTGCTACAGAAAAGAAAGCACCCACCTCTTTATAGATCCTTCCCAGTCTCTGTGGTAACCACTCAGATCAATTTATAGGAGGCTCAGTTCTTGTATGCTTTCTTATGCCTGCTTATAGAGCAGGGGGTGTCAAACTCACTGCGTCACATTGCCATCATGTGACGTATTGCGATGTTTTTTCCCTTCATGGAGCTGGAGTGGGCGTGGCCTCACATGACACATCCGGCCCGCAGGCTGCCAGTTTGACACCCCTGTATAGCATAATCATCTTGAAGCAGATCTTGGGGTTTCTGAGCAGAGGCTGCTGAACTACAACTCCCAGCATCTTTCATCACTAGTTGTGCTGTTTGGAACTCTGGAGACTTATGTAGGAAAATCCCTTTCCTCGTGATCCAGAGAAAAGGCCCCCTTCCCAACTTTTCCCCAGGCAGTCAGGGGCAGACAAGGTTTCCACTTGGGACATCAACAAAATCCAAACTGTGCCTTTAAATTAGAGGGGAGAATCTTGAATCCCCAAAGAGATATGAACAGTCTCTGAAAACCTGTGTCCCCCATAGTCCCTTCAAACTCTGCTTGCCCACCTGATGATAACATGCATTTTAATAAGTCTTGTTAGGCAGAAAAGGTGCTATCTGATACCTCCTGATTTCCACACACACACACCCATAAACTAACTCTTATTACAGTGCTGCCCAGCTGTAATTTTGGATGTGATAAAGATAAAAATAACTAAGCCCCATCCAAAAGCTAAGTGTGTACAAATTTTGAAGAACCATAGCTGAACATACAAGAAGACTCGGCATTTTGGGAAGATCATTGGATAATTTTCCCCCTATTTTATTTATTTATTTTTAGAAGCTGCACATTGTAATTGTAAGAGAATAAAGAAAAACAGAATTTTTTTTTCTATTTTTTTTCTTTTCTATATTTTCTACTTTTCTTGAGCTTTGCAACATTATTTCCACACATGGAAGATGGTTTCAATCTATTGATTATATTTCCAGCTTTTCACAGAAAAGGATTTTCTCATTCTAGCAATTAAAATTGGAGTAATATACCAGTGGTATACGGATTTTTTTCTAAGCAAAAGCAAAAGTTTTTTTAAACTATAAACATTGGATAATGTTAGAAATATTAAATTTTTAAAAAACATTTGATTATTAGGACGAAGAGAGAAAAAATACAAATAATATATTAATACTGTAAATTATATGTGGATTACATATCAAATTTGGGATTGTACTCTAAAAGTAGCTTTCAAATAGAATTGAATTTTATACGAGTTTTACTTTTTAAATGAGGAAATATTCTAGACGCTGAAGCCTACAAGACTCCCATAAATTTAGTTAGCCATTCCCCCCATAGAGAGATTAAATATCATTTCTTTAAAGAGTGTGTAAAATGGGGCTTTTAATATACACAGTGTCAGTTCAGCATATTTTGAAGACGTTGGCTTGGTGAAATTTAATAAAAATAATCTCAGGATAAAAGAGATTGTGACTTTCAAAATTTGTTCCATTCTACAATGAAATATTTTCTACTTTTCTTGAGCTTTGCAACATTATTTCCACACATGGAGGACAGTTTCAATCTGTTGATTATATTTCCAGCTTTTCACAGAAAAGGAATTTCTCATTCTAGCAATTAAAATTAGAGTAATATACCAGTGGTATACGGATTTTTTTCTAAGCAAAATATTTCAGGTAATTTAATGTTCTTTTCCATTGAAATTCCCAGTGTTCTCTGTAACTATATTCAAATTTTGTATCCACTTAATAAGACTTGAGGGATCTTAACTTTTTTTTTTAGATTTTTAAAATTCTACCCTTATTATTTTTTATAAATAACTCAAGGTGGTGAACACACACAATACTCCTTTCTCCTCCTATTTTCCTTACAACAACCACCCTGTGAGGTGAGTTGGGCTGACGGAAAGCGACTGGCCTGATGTCACCCAGATGGCTTTCATGCCAAAGGTGGTACTAGAATTCAGTTTCCTAGTTTCTACCCTAGTTTTTTAACCACAAGACCAAACTGCCTGGTTAATAATAGAATCTTGCAATCTGCACAAATTATTCTTAGTACCCACCTCCGGGTGAAAAAAAATAGATATTAAATAATGAAGCAAGGTGGGGATCTTCACTGGAGAATTAATGAATGGCATGCTGAAGAGAAGGATAACATCAGTTATCAATTACACCTCCTGATGCCAAATGTTGCCTGTTCCTGAGCATTTAGCATAGGTCTTTATGCTAAATTGTCTCGCCATCTAGTGTCCAGTGCTGATTTTGCATCTTCTTGCAACATCACTTTGCATAGAATTGTCTCAGAGGTGCTTTTTCAACTGGACTTCCTTTGTTTTTCCTTGAAGACGTTTCACTGTTCATTCAAGAAGCTTTTTTAGTTCTGAAGAAGAGAATGTGAAAAAGATTCTCTGGGACAACCATGACTTGGATGACTGAGAATCTCCATAGACATTTGCATAGAATTGTTATCCAGCAATGCAGGACTTTCTGTTCCAGATGGACTATTTTGTTCCTATTCACCCTTTGGAGGTTATTTTACATATAATTTAGGAATGCTTTTAACATTCATAAAAAAGAAATCTCAGGTTCTTTTATCCCGATGTGTGCCTTTCCTATCTGTATGAGAGAGTGCATACGCAAATCAATGCATACACTTTACAAGTATCAGCGTGCCATTTTCAACAATAAAAATCCATACATCTTTCAGACAAAGTGCCTTCCAAATTACACCCAGTTTTATTTTGCTTTTTATTGAGAATTTGCAAAACAAATTCCAAGACCGTAACATCAGTAGCATCTTAAGACGAAATCCTGAGATAATTCACATGCTTTTTCTTCCTAATTATATACCTTTGGTTTTATTTCAGTAGTAATAGTGTGGGTGTGTGCGTGCAAATCCCACTCATAAATCTCCTAAATCACCCAGAGACACTAAACAAGTTTGACTGTGACTCAAGATAAAATTCAAATATAATTGGATTTGGCATTACATGTGCAAGGAATTAGGCTACATAGCTTAATTGATCACACTGTAAGCATGAGCCAGGAGTGTGAGGCAACAGCTGTCAAGACTAATGCAGTCTTAGGCTGTGTTATGTCAGTTCCAACTCAGGAGAAGTACCCTGTTTTCCCCAAAATAAGACATCCCTTGATAATAAGCTCAATTGGCAATAAGGCCAAGCGCTTATTTCAGGGTTCAAAAAAAAATATAAGACAGGGTCTTATTTTCAGGGAAACACAGTAATTGGTTGATCCTACACTGCATTATTTAATTTGCAGCAGGAATAGTGAATCTAGCTCTGGATGCTGCATTTTAAAGACCTTGACATAGCTGAAGGAAGTCAACCAGGATAAGGAGGGTGATGTGAGAATCAGATGAAATGGGGATTGCTTGAAAGAGCAGTGTGAGTTTCATCCTGCAGAAAAGAAGAATGAATAGCAATACCAGGGCTGAATTTCAAATATCCAAAAGGTAGTCGTGTAGAAATGGAGCAGGTATGACCTAGAAACAGATTTCAGCTAAACGTTCTTCCTGATGCGGAATTGAAATCTGCTTTCTTAATAACAAGAATGCTTGACGGTACCTCAGGCTGTTACTGTAGCACTGGCAAAGAAAATAATAAAATTTCAGATTGTTCTCTCTTCATTTAGACTGACGTTATTTGCAGTTTCTGTCTTGGCGAGGGTGATGCATGATTTTCTGCTTCCCTTGCCTCTTGCCAACTTTTTTTTTTTATGTCATATTGAAATGAGAGATGAAATACGATTTAAGGATAGCTCGTACAAGCCGTAGCGAGTTATTGTTCTTAATAATACAAACAAGAACTTCGAATAAATATTAGTTGCACCTTTCCTCCCCTCCTGTCTTTGCTTACCTCCCACAGTGTACACAAAATTCTTATAAGAATCACAAATGGCAAAGTACTTATTGGCTGGAAATAATCTCTTTTTTGGAAGAGCGGGTGTCAGATTTGTATTTGTGTCTGCCTGTGAATTACTTCCATACCCAACAGAGCTGAAATAATGCACTTACTAATTTTGTCATCGGAAATACAGTTTTAAAAAGGAACCTGGCAACCTCACAGCATTACTCAAAGCGAGGGCAATAATATTCTCATTTTTATAGATAGAGGAACCGAAGCTGAGCGATCAGAGTGTGCCCAGAAGTCTAAGCCTCCTTGAACATGAGCCAGGGCTAACACCTATAAAGCTCTGCTGGCTGGTTGTGCGGCAATATGGCCAAGCCCTATGGAAATTACACACATCCACTCACGGGCATCCGAGGAGGCCACTTCAAAGATCTGCTGAGTGATACATGCCTGGGAATTCCCTGCAGCCACTTCCCACGCCATTCAGCACCTTGTCGATGGTTTTGTAGCAACATAGCCTAGCCCTGATATGGCAAGTTGCACGATCTTCCTTGGGGAGATCTGGGAAGAGTTACTTCATCGAGACCAAGTCAAAGTAGGGTTCTTAGGGAATATTAACCTTGGTCCTACTTCCTCAACAGGTGGGGGAACATGGTTTTCCTGCAGTGGTGGGATTAAAATTTTTTTACTACTGGTTCTGTGAGCTTGCCGTGGCTTGGTGGGCATGGCAGGGGAAGGATACTGTAAAATCTCCATTCCCTCCCCACTCCAGGGGAAGGTTACTGCAAAATCCCCATTTCCTCCCGATCAGCTGGGACTCGGGAGGCAGAGAATAGATGGGGGCAGGGCCAGTCAGAGGTGGTATTTACCGGTTCTCTGAACTACTCAAAATTCCCGCTACTGGTTCTCCAGAATTGGTCAGAACCTGCTGAATACCTCCGGTTTCCTGTCTTTCCTTTGATAACTCAAATGTGTTCTTAAGCCAAGGTCCCGCTCTATTGCTGTTTCTTTGACTAATATAGGTTTTGAAATTTCCTTGCCTGTTGCTGCTGCTCTGATTTTGATTTGAAATCAGTGGTCCTTCCTACAGGGTGCTCTTTTCCAGACGGCTTCTCTTGAATCTGGAAAGTAAGTTGCTGTTGATATGGCAGTACCTTTCCCTGTTGGGAAATGTACTGCAATATCAACAGCAAAATTACTTTCAACAGCAAGATGCTTTCAATCACCTTGTTGTGTGATTGAATATGGTGTTCTTTTTCAAAACCAGCAGGCAAGTTGTATTTTATCGGAAAGTGTGCGAGATACTTGCTCGAATGTTGCTAAGGGCAGCCATTTCGTAGTTTCATGCATGAACAAGCTTTGAAAGATGGCGATCAAAGATCGGCCTTTCATCAGCCTTGTTCAGTCTTTCATATACTTAGCAATCTTTTCTTCTTGTTGCAATGTTGATATAGCTATGATTGTAGCTGTAGTTTATTATGTTCTCCTCTGCTCCACTTCATAAACCTATTTCATCCTATCTAAATATATAGATAGCTTTGAGGGAAAATGGTTGTGTGATTTAATTAAAAATAAATTAGTTTTGCTATTTTTTTCCCTTGCCTTGATCAAGCATGATCTGGGACTAGAAGAAAGAAAGAAGCGATACATTCCTGACTGAATGACACACCTGGTAGAAGACTACTAATTCAGAAAATTATGACTGGAGTTTGATGCAGGTTTTGATGGACAGAATTTGTTGGTGGAATGTCTGCTATTGTCTTCTTTGCCAGATTTTGTCTGTATTACCCGTAGGAAAGGAGAGCTGGGAAAGACCCCACCCTGCAAGAGAGAGAGAGAGAGAGAGAGAGAGAGAGAGAGAGAGAGAGAGAGATGGAGAGAGATGGAGAGAGAGAGAGAGAGAGAGAGAGAGAGAGAGAAACAGAGGAGCATGCAGTACATCTCTGAATGATGCCCTTTGAGGATAAAGAGATAAAATCTTCACAGCCTACCACAATCTTAATTTTTTCTCAGCATGATCTGTCTCTTATTTCTTTAAAAGCCTTCTTAGTTTCTTTACCTGTTAAGATTTACATCCCACCTGTGGGATCTCAGTGGCTTTAATGAAAAGATCTTCCCTATGTTTGAGTCCAGTCAAATGTTATCGGATGCATTTGAACAGGGGAATCCATTTGTAGGAGCCGCCAAATAGGAAAATTAGAGATGAGTACCATACCTGGTCTGTGATGCTTCATTGTAGTTACGAGCTGTGTTTTTGTTCAACAGGTGCTGTAGCAAGTATGGTGGTGAAGCAGAAACTGGCAGAAGTCATCCTGAAAAAACAACAGGCTGCTCTGGAAAGGACTAATGCTCCCATCATGCCATACAGGTAATCTGGTTCTAGAAATACATTGGCAAACCTCACATGCTGGAACATCAACAGACTTCTTAATGTCTTCTTAAGAATTGGTCTTGCTACAGTTTCCATCATCCCCAACCAGCATGACCAATACAGCTTGCAGGAATGATGAGGGAATAGAAGGGGAACTCATAAAATTTGCAGATGACACTAAGCTGGCAGGAATAACCCAACACCCCAGAAGACAATCTCAGGATCCAAAAAGACCTTGACAGACTTGAACAAGGGGCCCTATCCAACAACATGAAATTTAATGTGGAGAAATGCAGGGTTTTACACCTAGGCAGGAAAAACAAAGGTACAAGTACAAATTAGGCAAAACCTGGCTCAAGGTTAGAGTCCTAGTGGATGATCACTTAAACATGAGCCAGCAGTGTGTGACAGCAGCCAAAAAAGCTAACACAATCCTTGGTTGTATAAACAAAGGCATAGAATCAAAATCATGTGAAGTATCAGTACCACTCTATAAAGCCTTCGTAAGGCCACCCCAGGAATGCTGCATCCAGTTTTGGTCACCACGTTACAAAACAATTGTTGAGACTTTGGAAAAAGTGCAAAAAAAGAGCAGCTAAGATGATTAAAGGCCTGGAGACAAAAAATATGAAAAACTGGAATTGGATATGGGCAGTCTAGAGAAAAGAAAAACTAGGGGGGACATGATAGCAGTATTCCAGTATTTGAGGAGCTGCCACAAAAGCGGGTGGGGGGAGAGGGTGTCAACCTATTTTCCAAAGCACCAGAAGCCAGAACAAGAAACAATGGATGGAAAGTAATCAAGGAAAGAAGCAATCTGGAATTAAGGAGAAACTTCCTAACAGTGAGAACAGTTAACCAGTGGAACAGCTTGCCACCAGAAGTTGTGGGTGCTTCATCACTGGCAGTTTTTAAGAAAAGACTGGATAGCACCTATCAGAAATGGTATAGGGCCATGATGGTGAACCTTTGGCATGTGTGCCCACAGGTGGCACACGGACCCATATTGGTGGGCACGCGAGCTCAGCTCCAGCGTGCATACACGCCCCGTCCAGCTGATTTTCGAGCCTTTTGAGCCCACTGGAAGTCAGGAAAAAGGCTGTTTCTGGCCTCCAGAGGGCCTCCGGGGGAGTGGGGAATGCCATTTTTGCCCTCCCCAGATTCCTAGAAAGACTCTGGAGTCTGGGGATAGTGGAAAACGGGCCTACTTTGCCATCACATGCCAAAAGTGGGGGGAGCGTGGGGGTATTGCACATGCATGCGCGGGGCACATAGAATTATGGGTGTGGGCACGCGCGCAAGATTGACCCTCCCGCACTCCCCCCACTTTTGGCATGTGATGGCAAAAAGATTAGTCATCACTGGTATAGGGTCTCCTGCCTGAGCAGGGGGTTGGACAAGAAGACCTCCAAGGTTCCTTCCAGCTCAATTCTGATTCTGAGATTCTAATTAGAAAGAACTTTAGGATCTAAAAGAGGGAATTGTTGACTGATTAGGTTGATGCTGTACCCTGCATCGCGCCCCAATTTAATCAAAGGTAGATGTCCTTGAGTTATCCATGATCAATGTCACCCTACTTAAACAGATAACTTTAATCTGGCTAGGATAGCCTCTCCAGCCCTGGCTACAACTTACAGGACTTGACTTTCTTTCATACTTGCCTCATTCACTTTACCACCTTGCATATTTTTAGAAGCACTATAGTCCACTTTGTTTTATAGCACCGTAACCTGCCTTTACTGTTTCATGGATGTGTCCTCTGTGAAAGAGAACATGAGCCTGTTAATAGCCCTGGGATCTTGATCTGTGTGGGTTGAATTACATCCCCTGCTACGTAGATCTTTTGCAGCTAAGATAATTTCTCTGCTTGCATTGTCCAGGACTAGTTGGACACACACACATACACACACACACATATAAACACAAACACACACCAGTGTCCTGTTTTCTTCTCTATTGTTACACCCTTGCTAAAGTCCTTGACCTAGTTTCAGACACGGCACTTTGGGTGTTGCTATAAAGGGAGAAGCTACTCAGCTCTTGCTGACTTTCACTGGCTTTAGTTTCCTGTCGGGGGCCCTCGACAGGCATGGAAAAAAGCTTCCTTCTGAGCAATATTTCTGTTCAGGATGGGGGAATGCTTCTTTAAATGCACACAAACACACATACCCTGTAACAAAATAGGCAGTTTGGTAACACCCCTTTCAATCTAAAGCAAACTAGATGTGTTGGAGTAGGACTCTAGTCATCCCCAACCACGTTGTAGGAGGCCAGGATAACTTATGGTTAAGCTGTGGTTTTGTGCAGACCAAGGCATGAGTTGGTCTTGCTGAAGGGGGGCTTGATCCTCGAAAGCACCAGTCAACCATCTATGGTGCTTGTCCAGATTTTCATTGATTCTGGAGAACAGGGATACAATGAATAGTTTGGATGTGGGGTTGGTTGGAAAGCATGTCCTGAGTGCTTCCTAAAATGGCCACCATGGAGGGGAGGGCAAACACCTTCTCAGAATAGCTGCAATAGTTGTCATAGTAAAGGTAAAGGTTCCCCTCGCACATATGTGCTGGTCGTTCCCAACTCTAGGGGGCGGTGCTCATCTCCGTTTCAAAGTCAAAGAGCCAGCGCTGTCCGAAGATGTCTCCATGGTCATGTGGCCAGCATGACTAAATGCCAAAGGCGCACGGAACGCTGTTACCTTCCCACAAAAGGTGGTCCCTATTTTTCTAGTTGCATTTTTTATGTGCTTTCAAACTGCTAGGTTGGCAGAAGCTGGGACAAGTAACAGGAGCTCACTCCATTACGCGGCACTAGGGATTTGAATCACTGAACTGCCGACCTTTTGATTGACAAGCTCAGCATTTTAGCCACTGAGCCACCATGTCCCCTTATAGTTGTCATAGCCAACCACAAAATACTAGGAAGCTGGTTGGTGACGTGGGTAGCAGTAGCACTTAGACTTATATACCGCTTCACAGTGCTCTACAGCCCTCTCTAAGTGGTTTACAGAGTCAGCATACTGCCCCCAACAATATTGGCTCCTCCTTTTACCGTCCTCAGAAGGGTGGAAGGCTGAGTCAACCTTGAACCTGGTGAGATTTGCCAAACTGCTGGCAGCCGGTGATCAGCAGAAGTAGCCTGCAGTACTGAACTCTAACCACTGCGCAACGGCAGCTCTAAGGAATGCCCCCTAAGCCAAGCTTACCTCCTCTTTTTCAGTAATAATCATATGTCTGTATAAGATTAAGTTAAGGTCTTTGTAGGCTCTTAAGCCGTCCCATAATGCAGGATCCTAAAATAAGTCTGTAAGGACTTTGAGTGTACACAATGTATAAGTGCCAGTTTGATGTAGTTCTTAAAGGCACCAAGGCCAGAACCAAGAGATCACAAGTCTAGACCTGCCTTAGGCACAAAAGACCAGCTGGGTGATTTGAGGCCTGTCTCTCACACACACAGGAAAAAGGCAATGTCAGTTTCATAGAGGTGACAGTGGGTAACACTTTTTCATAAACCTTTGGGAGGTTCTGGGCTGGCCTTGGGCGTCAGGCCCAGTAGATAATCCAGCCTTGCTTCCAAACAAAGCACTGGCTTGCAGCTATTTAATTTTTTTAAAAAAGACTATTTCTGGGGCCAATGTGGGATGCAAATCCAACATGGCCTGTATGTACTGATTCCTTATTGCAGTCAAAAGGTAAGGCTATGGGAGAGAGAGAGAGAGAGGCAATCTAAACAATAATTGTAAAAACGATGAAGGAGATACAGCAGATTGAAAGTTTCTTTTGTGCCCTCTCTTCCCTGAATGGGCAAATTTGTCAGGGTTTCCAAAGAATGAAGGAGAGAGAAAAAAAAACCCCTACCTTACACAATCCTACGGATACTGAACATTCCCTCAAACCAAGATGCAGAACCTTTATTTCAGAAGACAGTGTCCTCATAATTGGAAAGAACACTGAAAACCCATCACAATACAATTGCTCTTTCATCCTGCCGTCTTTCACATGTTGATCCAGAAGTACCAAACTTAAGTTCTTAAAGCCGTTTGTGGTCATTACTTACCTAAGGAGACATGCGGATCCTCTCGAAACCTCAACTTTGAATGGCGCTGACCAGCTCAGAACAACAAAATTGGGCAGGACTTTCAAAGCTACTTGTTCACAATGCTTCTGAAGGAAAAGTGTAATACCTCCTCAGTTTATTTCTTCACGACTCAATCCTACAAGTTGTGGCCTCAGCCTTTCATGATCCAGCATGGATCTAGAAGCAGTTCTGAGATGTTTGCTCAGAAGCCAACCATAGGCTTTGCAGGTAGTGGTGACCAGTTTTGAGTTCTGGCATTTGCAATTGAACAGGAATATTGCTACCTCTTAATCTGTGAAATTAGTTTCAGATGGCAACCCTGCAAACTCCCAAGATGGCTTCTGCCAGGTTCACTTCAGGGCAGGGGTGCTACTCAGCAGGGTTCTGACAGGTTCTGGAGAACCGGTAGTGGAAAATTTGAGTAGTTCGGAGAACCAGCAAAAACCGCCTCTGGCTGGCTCCAGAATGGGGAGGGAATGGAGATTTTGCAATATCCTTCCCCCAGGAGTGGGGAGGGAATGAGGATTTTTCAGTATCCTTCCTCTGGAATGGGGTGGGAATGGAGATTTTGCAGTATCCTTCCCCTGCCATGCCCACCAAGCCACACCACGCCCACAGAACTGGTAGTAAAAAAATTTTGAATTCCACCACTGCTTCAGGGTTGACAATTCGGCTTGATGTCAGCATTCCAAGTAATGCACCCATAGAAACAGAACTCCAAGGCAGGCAGGTTCCTCAAAGAACAATTGATTGAATACTTCATATTGGCACAACTGGTGAAAGTCAAATCTAAAGTTTCCCACAGCTTTCACCTAATTAAAAGTAAAAGTTTTCCCTCCCCCCCACCCCAAGTCACTGGTCACACTATCCAATCCAGGTGCTGGCCGGTTGCCTGGTTACTTGCTCCTCCTCTGGCCAGCCACCTGTGTGAATGTCCTTGGTTCCCACAGGAAAACTTTCTTGTTTTGGCTACAAAACCCCATCTAACTATTTTCCCCCTCCCACTTTTGTGTGGCGACCCTGAAGACTCCAAGATGGCTTCAGACAGGTTCACTTCAGGGTTGACATCAGCAATGAATTATGGGCTGACTCTAGGGAATCTTGGCAAAGAGGCTAGATTTGAACTGGAGACTTCCTAACCCGCAGGCTCATTCCCTTCCCTTAATCTTTAACATAAACTGATCTAGGGATGTTACCCACAAATCTCTTTCTCATGCTTTATCTAGGTCCTTGGAGCCAATGGAACATGAAGGCCCACCGAATCCTATGCTCCATCCTTTTTTTCCTCCTGTCCCCAACAACTCCAGGGGTTCTCCAGAGCACTTTCCGTTAAGGAAAACAGGTAAAAGGTCTTATTTGAGTTTCTCTTTGAGGCTATTAAGTTTCCAAATGATAGGAAAAAAGGAAGTGGAAGAGCCTTGATGCTCTTCTTTAGCTGGAATAATAACACTGGACTTTTGCCAGGAAATCATTGTATAGTGTAGAGTTTAATATGAAGAACTGCCTGTACCTGCATAATAAACCAATGTCAAAGGCATAGCTAGCTGCTGGGTTGTTCAGAAAAAAAACAAGTAAAAGAAAGGAACCAGTGGAAGTTCACACAAACTTACTTGAGATACATGCACACCGTTATTTTTCATATAGTTGTGTTTTCGTTTTTTTTGTTCCAGCTGAATATTCTAGGAATTAAATTGTGATTTTTAGGAGGTGACACCATTGGTTGTTTGTTTGATTGTTTTTTTTCCCCTCCTCCTCGCTCTTTTTTCTTCTTGTGTCATTTTGATTGTAAGCTTGCAACGAGGCTTCCTTTGGTTTCACCAATCTTCTAAAAGTGGTTCTGTTTTATTGCTTTGAATGTGTATGCTGCTCACGAAACCAGATTTTCTCTAGGATCTCAATGTTTTGGTAGCAACGGGGGGACAAACCTGAACCATCAAATAATAAATGAAAGGCCACTGACTTATTTGTTGTCACAACCTCTTTAAAGAAATAAGTTGTTGGCAGAGCATACGCTTCGCATAATGAAGACCCAAAGTTCAGTCCCCCCCAACAGTGATAACTGGAAAAATATCAGATTTCAGGGCTAAAAGTAGCTCTGTTAATCTCCTACAAAAAGATGGCTCCTTGTCAAATCCATTAATGCAGGATCATATCAAACATAAACAACAACAACTCTTGATTATTCATGGCCATGGCATTTAATTGGAATCTCCCACTCTCTACTAATGAAGTGCTAATGAAGGAAAGCTGGTGTGAATGTGCCATCGCTGTAGAGGTGCAATAGTGGTGATATAAACAAAAATGTGAAACTCTTGCTCAAGCAGTGATTTTGCAAAAGACTTCCTTCCTTCCAAAAGAAATCTTTCTGGGAAGAGGAAGAAGAATGGGGACAGATAGAAAGAAGCAAAAAAAAAAAACCAGCCTTGGGATTGCTGCTGTATAATGTTGAGATATTAGAGAAATTAAACTGAGATGTACATGGGAAATCGATCTCTAGTCTTTTGTAGAGAATATATTAATATGATATTAATTCTGTTACTTTTAATTTCTCTTATACTTAATTTTTGTCCTAGGCCAGGGATATCAAACTCAATTTCATTGAGGGCCGCATCAGAGTGGTGTATGATCTCAGCGGGCTGGGATGGGCATGGCCAGCCCAATGTCACTCCTGTCGGGGGCACCTGTGGTGGCCCGAGCACTCTGCCAGTGAAAATGGGCTCCCAAGCTCCATTTTTGGCTGCCACAGCCTCCTGCAACCCTCTGCCAGTGGCAGAGGGTTGCAGGAGGCCATGGTAGCCGAAAATGGAGCTTGGGAGCCCATTTTCACTGGCAGAAGCATTGTGGGCCGGCCCTTTGCAGTTTCCAATGTGGCCCGCAGGCCATATCTGAGTACCTTGTGGGCAGCATCCAGCCCCCACGTCTTGAGTTCGACACCCCTGTCCTAGGCCCTCTACTTGTTGGGATTGGCTTACCTCTTGAAAAGGTTAGAATGGTCTTCACACTATAAAAATAGTTGCATCCTTCAGGCAGTGAAAAGAGAAGTGGAAGCTGAGATGTGACTCAGATGCTTCCCATAATTTCATTTAGAGGGCTGTTTTGACCATTCTGTTGGCAATATTTCAACAGGCTTTCCTCTATCCAACCCAGCATTTTCCCTGAGTTCAGTTGTTCAGTGGAAGATAATTTTTAAACCACCCCAACAGTCAAAACTCTCCCAGTGATTTGCAATAAAAGACACTAAATAAATGGATAAAACATATATAATAAAACCAAATAAAGTGCAAAATAAAACCACTATATACAGCCACAAGGCGGTCATTCAGAAACTAAAGCAATATGAATTGACATTAATTTAAAATCCAGTTTGAAAGCCTGAGAACTAAAAAGTTATACTTGAGGTGCCAAAGTCTCTGGGAAAGACATTTATCCAAAAGACAGAGGAGACTAAATAAACCGGATGATCTGAGATCATTTGCATTGCTGTGGGTCTTGGATAATGCTCATCTTAGTGTGCTGGCAAATGCCTTGGTTGATTTTGTGGTGCCAAATGCCTTGAACCACCTGTCTCCCTGCAATGTCTTGCTAAACACTGTAAGATGCATTCTCTTCTGAGCTAGGTGGACTTTTGCTCCAAGAACTTCTGACTTCTTCTCTGTATTTTTTTTTTTAAGCCTCTGAGCCCAACCTGAAATTGCGCTGTAAAGCTAAAAAAACTGAACGGCGCAAAAACCCACTGACTCGGAAGGAAAGCGCTCCCCCTTCCTTGAAAAGGCGCCCGGCAGAAGCCATTGGTAAGAAGAACCCATACAAAGGGTTTGCTGGAAAGGGACTTTTTTTCTGGTGTGCACTCCTTGTCATTAGAAAGGAGCAGAGATAGACAATTTGAAACAATTCCTGGGATAATGAATTGGCACCCTTGGGGATGTGATGGGTCTCCGCATAGCAGCCCTTGAGCTTCTAAGCAGTTCATTTGAAGACAAGCCTAGAATGATCCCAATTTCAGGGTTAAACAATCTTCCCCAACCAGTTGTGCTTATGCTACAGATTCTGGGATGGTGGTCCTTGGCCCTCACTTTGCTTGTTCCGCCTGTCCCGTAGCCAACGCCTTGTGTCCTCTCTCATCCCCTGCAGATTCATCGCCCAGCAGCAGCAGCACCCCAGTCTCTGGATGCAGCTCACCCAATGACAGCTTGGTGCCAGAACATGGAGCCGCACCAGGGCTTGTCCAAGAGGTATGGAACCCATAGGAAAGTAGCCAAGACAACTGATGACATGGACCTTGAGAGATGAAGAATGAGCGCCATCAAGGGGCTTACAAATAGCTGCTTACTCAATTGCTTGCAGCTGAGCCAAACCTCTAGCCATTGAGTAAAATGGGAAGCTTCTGCAAATTAGCTTCTGCTCTTCAGTCAGAAATTACATGTTAATTTCAACCTTAGAAGGCACTTATTATCAATTGGGGTTTAATGGTTTTGGGTCTTCTTTCCATTTTACACTCCTTTACTAAATGTATACCCTGCTCTTACATGGGGGGGTGGATGAGTCACCCATTCAAAGAATCAATCAGATATAAAACCTGTGTGCGCGCTTTAATATGGATGCTGAAAAATTCATCTCTTGCATTGGAAGTGTTACAGAAAACTCTGCTGTGTTGCAGGGTCACTGAGATAAAATCTCCACCTACCAAAATTCTATTTGTGGAGGCAAGACCCAGCATGTCTGTTTCTTACTACACAATATGCCTTCAGACAGTGACATTTTTTTTTTTTTGGTTTCCTGTTGATTGTATTCTACAATATAAGAATCCCACTCCCCATGTACTCTATATATTACAATATCAGTAGAAGAGAATATTTATAGCTCAGGGTTGAACTGTGAGATCCTTGGTGCTCTCTGAACTTGGTGGTGTTCTTGAAGACGTTTCATTACCAAACTACTTAACACCATCAGTGCTGATGATGGTACCTAGTTTGGTAATGAAACGCCTGTAAGAACATCATCAAACTCAGAGAACATCAAGAAACCCACCGCCACCACTCTGTATAGTATTTTGCCACATTGTTTTTGCACATTTTTAAATAGATTGCAAAGGGGGAAAAAATATTATTTTTTTATTGCTATATCATTGCTATATTTTGGTTTTCTTGGATATTCTTCTGACTTTGCTAGTTTTTTTCATTTGTTCATTCATACATTCGCCAATTACTGTTCTGAGAAAATTGTAGCACATCAGTTGAGCTCAGGAAGTCCTAGGTTTACTCCAAATCTTGTTAGGCAAGACTGAACCCTAAAGGGCTGGTGCTGGTCAGAGCTAACAGGACCTGGCTTGATGGACTCTTGAGTTTCACCTCATATAAGGTGCTTCCATTTGGTTCTCAGCAGCAGTAACAGTCCTTGTTGTCAATAGGATGTTCAGAAGAAAGGTGAAAGAAGAAAGGCTTAAATAAATACAGAGCCTTTCCCTGATGCCACACTGATAGAAAGCAGAATTGGAGGGAAGTGAAACCATATACTCTTCTGTAAGAGAATGCGGATTCTTTGATACCCCTGATGGAGACCTACTTTCAGGCTGAACCTGTTGCTGATGCCTGTTACCCAGGGGTGGGCTGTTGGGGGTTCGCAGGGGTTCGGAAGAACCTCTAACTAAGATTCTGTGCAGTTTGGAGAACCCCCAAATCCCACTCCTGGCTGGCCCCGCCCACGCCGCCCTTCAGGAGTCCCCATGCAGCCCGTTTTGGATGCAGGTAAATGCAGGGCGTATGCAGAGGCTCAAGGGAGGGTGAAAAATGGGCCTACCAGAAGTTTGGGAAGGCTGGAAATAAACCTGGGGCCTGGGGAGGCCGTTTTCGCCCTCCCAGAGGCTCGAGAAAAGCATCCAGAGCCCAGGGAGGGCAAAAATGCCTCCCCCCTCCCGCCATGGTACAGGAGGCCAACTAGACCACGCCTACCATGGCCACGCCCATCCAGCAACCAGGCAGAGAACCCCTGACTAAAATTTTTGAAGCCCACCCCTGCTGTTAACCTTTCACAATGCATAGCAGGGGAAAGGCAGATACCCAACAGAGCTATGACAATTCACCTTTCTCCTCACTCCACATTCCCAGGCAAACTCAAAAGGTTTTGATGAATACAGTAGACTTACTGCACAGAATCATGCATTTATTTACCTATTTAATACATTTACCTATTTAATTTGTGGAATTTATCTGCTATCTCAGTCCTTATGGGTGGTTCTAACAACGCTGAAGAATGCCACTTTTATCTGTTATTCCCAAAATGTAAAGCTTAGCTCTCTTCCTCCCATATTTCCATATCAATCTTCCTACAGATTTTTATTTGCCACTTTGAAGGTTTCTAGCATTTATTTCTGATATTATTTTCCTTGGCATGAGAATCAGAGAATCCTTCCACACTTACTTTAACCCTTATGTAAAGGATGGGTGTGGGCCAGTTAAACAAATATTGCAGATGAGGAACAGATGGACATTTTTGCAGTATCAAATGAGTGATTTGCATCCTCCCCATCCAACCACGACTTAGTTAGAGGATAAAAATTTCTAAGGCCTTCTAATCTTTCCCCCTTGTGATGGCTACAAACATCTCGTGAGTGCTGAAGTGCTTCCGGGTTGAAAGGATTGGCTGGTGACATCACCATTGCCCGGAGGACACCCAATTGGGGACTCCTTTCATGTCCTCGCTAAGCTGCCCACCAAAGTGGTACCCATTATGGTCGCCCGCTTTCAAACTGCTGGGTCAGAAGGAGATGGAGTGAGTGAAGGGAGCTCACCCCATCCCACAGCAGCAACTGGGTCTCAAACGCCAGCCTGCCAAGCTTCATACCAGCGTCCTAACCACGTGACCCACCGTGCTCCTTCCCCTAGTGATAAACCTGCTGACTTCATCTGTGAGATTTTTGCTTTTTGGTTATGTGGTTCCATCAGAGAGTTGACATGTAATTGGAAATGCCTTTCTTTGTTCCCAGGCTCAGAGAATTCCACCATACATATAACAATACACTCAGGACAAGTTTCACTGTTCTGAGAGTTATTGAACTGGGTGGATTACTAACTTTCCTTTTCTTTTCTCCTTATAGGCCCCACTAGCTCAGCGCCTGAGAATGCAGGAAAGTTCACTGGCTCAGTATGCTCTTCAGACCAGTAGTTCTCTCCCAGCTCTCACCCTCGGATTACCAGCCACTTCTGCAGCATCTGCCAGGGTATGTTTTAAGAGGTTGTGGCAAGAGAAAAGGGGGTTGATGCAGTAATTAGACACATTTCAGTCTGACTTTCCTAACCAGGAAACTGCTAGACACATTGCAGCTGGATTCCCAAAACAGCAGTCCAACCAAGTTTACAATCTTGAGATATGTGGTAGGTTGAGAAAGGCAGCAAAAGATGGTGGGAATCACAATGGCCAATGGAATCCTAAGTGGAAATACCAGTCATCCTCTACTTATGACCATAGTTGAGTCCAAAATTTCTGTTGCTAAATGAGACATTTGCTAAGTGAGTTTTGCCCCCGTTGTTATGTGAATCACCGCACTGGTTAAATTAGTAGCATGGTTGATAAGTGAATCTGGCTTCTCCGTTAACTTTCCTTGTCAGATGGTTTCAAAAGGTGATCACATGACCCACCATCATAATTATGAATCAGTTGCCAAGCATCTGAATTTTGGTCACACGGCCATGGGGATGCTGTAACCGTTGTAAGTGTGGGAAACGGTCATAAATCATTTTTTTCAGTGATGATGTAACTTCGAAAGGTCATTAAATAAACCGTTGTAAGTCGAGGACTACCTGTAGATCATTTTTAAAGGAAGGAAACAGCGAATGGAGAATGAAAATTCACCTGCTAAATTTGACTTACTTACTTATTTATTTAATTACTTACTTATTTATTTATTGAATTTATATTGCCGCCTATTCGCCCATGGCGACTCAAGGCGGCTTACAGAATATAAAACCACATTTAAAACAATAAAAACTAATGAAAAGAATCAAATAAATTAATATAGTACAATGTAACAAAATCACCTCCCACCCCCTGCGCCGGCGACAGCAGATCACATGAGCCATTTAATGGGCTCCATCCCGCTCTGGGTTCCCCAAGCCTGCTGGCAGAACCAGATCTTCAGTGCCTTCCAGAAGAGTAAATATATTGCGTATATATGAGAGTATTGGTAAATATATATAGAGAGAGAGCCTAGGATTGTTGGGTTTTTGATGTTTACTGGGTTTGTTTCTCTTCCTGCAGAAGTTTCATTACCAGGCGGGTAATAACACCAGTACATCAGTAGACTGATAATAAACAAAGCAGTATTATCAAATACAGTAGTGAAATATCTGCGAGAAGAAAAGCCCGTTTGGAGAACATTAAGAAGTCAACTTCCTAAACCACTTGCTCTAACATAAACAGATGAAAAATTCTGAAAAACAGAATGTCTACATTTTTTAAAAAAATATGGATTTGCAGGTTTTCCCTAAAGTCCTCGACTCCACCTTCCTCTTTCTCTCTTTGGTTTTTGTTTGTCTCTTCAAACATCCCAGCTAATTTCTCTGCATTGCTCCTTTGAGAATGTCGGGGAAGGATAACTTGGGATTCAGAGAAACGCTGTTCATTCACACTCTCCAATTCTGTCTGCACAGGGGGACGGTGACCACAGGGCACACCCAGGCCTTTCACACAAGGTGCCTGTCCTGACTAGCACTCACGCCCCCATGTTCCTACCTGCCAACCTGGAGCAACACGAATCCGGAAGCCCTCTGTCCCCTCGACTTCATCCTGTTATCATTCTGGAGCCCTCTCCTCTGGTTACAGGTGAGTATGCGGTCTTTCATCTTCTGGGAAACATGGAACACAGAAAACGGGCAACTTCCACTTCCTTAGATTGCTGAACTATAACTTCCATGATCCCCAGGGAGCCTGTCCAGAGGTGAGAGGTGCTGGGAGTTGGAGTTCAGCAATACTTGAAGGCCTGCCTAGCGTTAGCAAGGTGTAGGACAATTCTTGGTGTGCACCCACAGGTATTAGCATTCAGCATTTCTAGAAAGGCCTTTCAGAAGGAGCATAATTATCAAGAGCTAACAGGGACATGGTGCATGGTTACTATCTTTCAAAGAAGAAAGGTCCTGCTTTGCTCCTGTGGTCCTGTTGAACATCGGCCTTCACTTTGCTACTTCCATTGATGATCTCAATCACTGCAGTAAAATCTCAGGTGACTTGATGTTGTATTCAAAATCAGCTCAAGATGTACGTACTAATGCCCTGGGATTAGCCTTTCAGGACCTGCAGAGCATTTTTTCTGTGCATGGCAACCCTGGAGGAGGAGGAGGAGGAACAGAGGGCTTTTCCCAATTGTAGCACAGAGGAAAACACTTAAATGCTACAGTCCATTAAAAACAACCGTAAATCAGCATATTAGCAAGAAGAGCTTTAAGACAGACTTACCTCAAGTGCAGAAATATTGCAACTATATATATGTAATGTAAATAAATTACAGTGAGATCCTATACTTTGGGGTTCAGTAACGTGGCCCCTTGCAGATATTTTACACTCCCACCTCCTACCCAAAGGGCCAATTTTAATCTCTTGTAAAATAAAACTCACAAACTCAGTTGTAGGAAATGTGTCCCAACATTTTTGGAAAGTACCAAATGCCTAATCCTGGAGGTATAAAATCTAATTGGCTATAGTTAATCCATATATTGTTGCATTCTCAGTGTTTTATATATTTATGCTTTGGATAAGTGTCTGTTAATGTGTTTCTTGGGGTAACACTGGGTTTTTGTTGGCGATTTCAAATTTTGATACAATTTTCAGCCATTTGGGAGAAGAATGTATAAGTTATTCCCTCCTGCTTATCCTCTTTTTAAATTGCAGTCCCTTTATCCTTAGAGTAAGAATAAGCAGGCTGTGGTTCTGAGAGTGAAAAGGGACACTTTGTATTGTTGGGAGGTCATTTTAGTTAGGTTCATTTGTTTGTTTATCGTGGGGGTTTTATTTTAGTCTTGTGGACTAGAAACCTAAAGACAGACAAGTTTCATAACCTAATGCTTACGGTGCATCATTTAGAACAGACTCTTTCCATAGCAATAGCACTTAGACTTACATACCACTTCACAGTGCTTTAAAGCCCTCTCTAAGCGGTTTACATAATCAGCATATTTCCCCCAACAATTTTGGGTCCTCATTTTACCGACCTTGAAAGGATGGAAAGCTGAGTCAACCTGGAGCCGGTCAGGATCGAACTGCTGGAGCGAGCAGTGAGTTAGCCCTGCAGTACTGCATTCTCTGCATTCTCCACGGCTCTGCACCACCATGGACTAGAAATGCACGCTGAGTTTTAAGAATTCTCTCAGACTCTCTACAGTATTTGCAAGGGCTGTTTTCTGAATCCGTTTGTTCCCACCACATGTGAATGTGCCTCTAAGTCTTTTGGGGCGCCCCCTGCTACCTTCAATCCCATGTCTCCTCTGTTCGCAGTTCCAGGGCTGGGATCAGTCCCCTTTCACTTCAGCCCTTCAGTGCTTCCTTCGGAGCGGCTGCCGATGCCGGTGATCCATAAGCCCTTGGGACGGACCCGCTCGGAGCCTCTGCCATCCAACCCCAGAACTGTGCAGCAGCAACTGGCGTACCAGCAGCACCACGCTTTCCTCCTGGAGCATCTGAAGCAGCAGACCCAGCTGGGAAAGGTGGGCTCCAGGTTTTGGTCGTCTTCAGCCACTGAGCAGGAGGATGTGATCCCAGGGATTTGGGGGAGAGGATATTTCTAACCCCCACCCCACAAGAGATCTGATTCATTTGGGGACAGATTACTAATGGAGAAAAGTTACCTGGCCATTCATTTATATTTTATAGGGCACGGAACCTTTTTAAAGCACAGAGTAAAGAAGGCCTGGAATTGGCAATAGAGCATACCCCTAGTCTTCCAAGGGTGTATCTGAAATCAAATCTTTCTAATTATGCTGTTATTAATAATATTTCTTTTTTTAAAAAAAAAGCTAAAACCACACAAGATGGATTGCTGGCAGGGCAAGGAAAGGACACATTGTAGTGAGAAAGTGTGATGCCTCACTACGTCCAGAAGGCTATTCAGTTCTCAAAATACTATATATACTTGTAGATAAGTTGAGAATTTTAGGTACCAAAATGACCCCCCCCCAAAAAAAATTGGTTTCAATTTATCTGAGAGTTTGTTTCTTTCTTTCTTTCTTTCTTTCTTTCTTTCTTTCTTTCTTTCTTTCTTTCTTTCTTTCTTTCTCTCTCTCTCTCTCTCTCTCTCTCCTCTTCCTTCCTTCCTTCCTTCCTTGCTTTTTCTTCCTTCCTTCCTTGCTTTTTCTTCCTTCCTTCCTTCCTTCCTTGCTTTTCCTTCCTTCCTTCCTTGCTTTTCCTTCCTTCCTTCCTTCCTTCCTTGCTTTTCCTTCCTTCCTTCGTTGCTTGCTTCCTTGCTTGCTTCCTTGCTTGCTTGCTTTTTCTTCCTTCCTTCCTTCCTTCCTTCCTTGCTTTTCCTTCCTTCATTCCTTCCTTCCTTCCTTCCTTCCTTCCTTCCTTGCTTGCTTGCTTGCTTGCTTGCTTGCTTTTTCTTCCTTCCTTCCTTCCTTCCTTCCTTCCTTGCTTGCTTTTCCTTCTTTCCTTCCTTCCTTCCTTCCTTCCTTCCTTCCTCTCTTTCCGTCATTCCGTCTTTCTTTCTTTCTTAATTTCTATGGCCACCCATCTCAACCAAATGACTCTGGGAGGCTATATATGGTAATACCTTTTAAAAAGTGCCGATCTTTCCCATGTATACTCACAGATAAGTCCGTCTGTGGACAAACAGGCTTATCCACAGGCGGCACATTTTTCATAATATTCTGTTTTAAAATTTGAAGGTCTGCTTATAGGTGAGTATACATGACAGGCTGAAGCTGAGATCACTTGCCAATCATTTGTATTTCCATAATCGGGGATGGCTGTGAGTTTGCTGAGCTTGCCTGCTCCTTCATGATTGTCTCCCTGCTCCCATCCAACCCTTGCACAGCGCATGGCCAAATCCAGTGAGAAGCCTCGCCTGCAGCAGATCCCCTCTTCCGAAGACATGGAGGCCATGGCAGGAGAAGATCTGTATGAGCAGCCCCAGGGCCAGGGGGAGCCTTCACCATCGGGAGGCGGCAGCAAGGAAGCAGAGAGGATCTCCAGGTTGGGTCAGCAGCCTCGAGAGGAACTTGTTCTTCATCAGGTATTGGAAACCGGAAAAAGGGAACTTAAATAAACATTTTCCTTCTTCCAAAAGGCTGTTTATTAACAAAGATAAAGACTGCTGTGCTTCTGGCATCCTGCGGTTTGTCTTTCCTGCAGAGTTGGGAGCCTACAACAATTGTGCGAAAACATGCACTTAATTTTTTGTGACTGCACACACCACATGCCCATGGATGCAGCTAGTCTTGAACTATAGTGAAGGTGACGGAGTTAAATTTCTCTCTTTCCCAAAGAAATATTCTGCCCACATTCCTTTCATTTCCATGCTTTTTCTTGGAATGCCTTGGGAGGAAATAAAGAGCAGGCCATTTGCTTCCCTGTGACATAACAGATTTCCCATTCAACAGACTAGATTTCCACATCAAAACATCTGTGCAGCGATTATGCCAATGATGTCATAATACCCATGATGTCATTTCTGACCATGTATATCTTTTGCATAATGACATCACATAGCTTTAACTGTCAGATTTAACTGTCTCATTTAACAGCCCTTGGCAAATAACAGATCCGCACTCTCTACAATAGAAAAGTGGTTTATTAATGGTAATCCTAAATGTATTTCTTAGAGAAGCAGGAACATAAATCAAAAGGAAGGTAAATGTGTCTAATTTCCAAGCAGATATAACAAAGACTGTTTCTCTCTCATCATTATGCCCTCTTTCTGCTCAGAGGGTGATTGCTTTCTCCTTCTCCTTCTCCCTTCCACACACATGCACACAACAATTATAAGAGTGTGATTTGGGCTCCTGATATTGCACCCCTAAAACATGTTCTTCCAGTAGCCTTTGATAGCCTTAGTCTCCACTTTGTAATTCCCTAGCAAGCCTGACCCATGATCATCCCTGATCACATTTCCCCAAAGCTCTGGAAGGCCGTCCTAGACCTTCATACACTGGATTAGAAACATCCTTTAATTTTCAGTGTCTGTGCCAGGAAAGGGTTCAAAAATTGCCTTTTGACTTTCCTAGAAAGCTTCTGAGTTTATCTAGCTGCTTTTCTCTGACACAGAGAGAACCCCTTTTTCCTGTTCTTTTCTCTCTCGTCCCAAAGGTGTTTTTTTTTCAAGAGGCAAGTGGATTTTTTGTTTTTTCTTTGAAGACGTTTCGCTTCTCATCCAAGAAGCTTCTTCAGCACCTTTGGGACCTGGATGACTGAGAAACTCTACATAGATATTTTCTCTCCCATCTAATTCTAATTTCTCTCCCATCTAATGGCTATGGTTATGTCTTTGCCACCCAAATGCACTAGAGGGCGCCAGCTGCTAAGCCAAGCCAGTGCAGAAGCCTCCCTTTTTGTTTTAGTGGAAACGATGGGCACTAGGACTCCCCCACGTGACCAGGCTCTTAATTCCATCCACAGGCACATTATGTCTGGGAACAACAGCAGCGTATGCAACAGCAACAGCTCCTCCGAAGGCAGCCTGCCGACTCGTTGCTGACCCCAGCCGCACGGGGCGGCCACCGGCCCCTCTCACGAGCTCATTCCTCACCCGCTCCGGCCACTGCCTGTCTACCTAGCCAGGACACGTCTTCCAAGGTCATCCCACTTCCAGTGCCAGAACAATCCATCAAACCACGCTTCACCACAGGTAAAACACAAAGCTTTCCCTTGATTTTGTGTAAATAGTTCTTTGTTTATTGGTTCAATATATACAGCTGCCCAATCAACATACAACTCAAGGTGACACCCCCTGAAATATATATATATTTATGCTTCTCATTGTCATTGACAATGGATGCATGTAACCAAACGTTCTCCAAAAAGTTAACCTGGATTGAACCTGATTAATATTCGGGTAGTAGACCATCAGGAAATCCAAGGGCGATAGGGTGAAACTGAAAAAAGAAAAAACAACTTGCAAGAAGGGAGTGACAAGCTACTTCTATACTATTGTCAAGAAAACAGGAAGTGGTCACATGACTAGAGGGGAGATTTTTGACTTTAGTGTTGTACATAACAATTGATATGCGACTCTGGCCAGCAAGTTATTTTCCCCACTCCCTTCTTCTTCCATCATCATCTGTATGTGACATGTAATTCTAACTATTGGTTTGCAAACCATGATTTGTAGCATAATGTGAACTTTATTGTGGCTTGCTCAACAAACCACAGTTAAAACTAAACATGGCTTATTATGATACATGATCTGGGGCCATGCTCGGATTCTCTTCCCTCCTCACCTTCCTCAATCCCTAATTAGACTTAGAATAACTTTATTGCCACTTCGAATGTACACTAATTGGCATTAAAATGAAATTTTGTTGCATACAGCTCTCGAAGGGTCACCACCTCCAATATACACTACATAAACATGACAAAATAAATAAATAAATATAAAATTATGCATATACCTATATATACAGTATTATATGACACAGAGAAACAATTACTGTCTGTTCCTGACCAGGAAAAGTGTACAGGTAGTCCTCAACTTACAAACATTCATTTAGTGACTGTTCAGAATTATGAAAAAAAACCACCAGTCTTCTCGCTTACAAGCATCACGGCATCCCCATAGTCACGTGATCAAAATTCGGGCACTTGGCCACAACAGTAGCAGTGTCCGGGGATCATCTGACCACCATGTGAAACTTCCTAGCTGGCTTCCCACAAGCAAAGTCCACGGGGGAATCCAGATTCACTTAACAACCATACGGTTCACGTAACAACGGCAGTGATTTGCTTAACAATGGTGGTAAAAAAAAGATTGTAAAAGTGGATGCTACTCACTTAACAGCCACCTTGCTTTGCAATGGAAACTCTGCTCCCGATTGTGGTTGTAAGCCAAAGACTGCTGGTATTGCCAGGACATTGGTCCATTAGACATCCAAACTTTAACATGGGGCTGCAGTCACATGATTTTTGCCAAGAGGAAAAGAGCTCCTCCCCTCACCCAGGCTAAGAAAGCCAACTTTACAGGGTTTTGCCTGCCATTCATCCATTCCATTAGTTTCAACCAAATTTATCTCTAACTTCTCCCCTCAAAGGCTGTCTTTTGTCCTAGAAAGATGATTCCGGGAAGCGGGGGTGGGCAATTCAATCTTCGGGTTTAAACTAACACTGAAGACTCACTGAGTCCAAAGAAAACCCCAGCTTTGTGAATGACTTGGGTGCCTCTTTTCCTCCTGTTTTAGGGATCGTGTATGACTCTGTCATGCTGAAACATCAGTGCTCGTGTGGAGACAACAGCAACCATCCTGAGCATGCAGGCCGAATCCAGAGCATCTGGTCTCGCCTGCAGGAACGTGGCCTACGCAACCAGTGTGAGGTAGGGGGCAGTGCAGGCTAGATGTGAATACAGAACAATCCTCTATTCTCCCAACCTGATTTAGCTACACAATCTACAAGACAAGTATTTTTTTAGCTTTTCAATAAGCCATTTTACTAATGGCTAATTTGGTGGTGGTTGTTTTTTTTAAATTTACATTTCTACTTGGAAAGTGGTGATGGTGGGCTTTTGTTGTTGTTTATAAAAACAAATTTTGGGCAACGGTTTTTAGAAAACTAAATGGCATCTCGTGCCACTGGTACTTTAGCTTCAATTAATTTCTGCAGCAATGTGGGCTAGAAACATATTTGAATCAAAATGTACAACTCTTCATGGTTTTGCCCACCCTCAGAACTTTAGCTTTACTACTGTTGCCTTCCTATTACAGGATGAGAGACGACAGATGTTTGCCACCTTGAGTGGTCTATAAAAATAGTAAAAGGGCGATATAAATAAATAAATGAAAGAGGTACTGTTACTTTCTAAAACGTTCAAAATTCAGAGTAGCTATTCAACAGCAGTACTCTGTTGACCTTATAAAGGAAAGAGTCAACCTTATAGAGGAAAGATTGCTAAAGAAGCAACACAGAGGGTCCTTGATTTACTACCACAATTGGGACTGGAAAAATCTATCATTAAGTGAAGCAGACATTAAGTAAGACATTACGTGATAGCTATTTGCATCCTTCCCTGCTGTCTTTTGGCAGTCAGAAGCCAGTTGGGAAGGTCGCAAATGCCAATCACGTGACCCGGGACATAAATATATACTGGCTGTCAAGCGTGACCATGGGGACACCGCAACAGTCATAAATCTGAGGACCAGTCATAAGTTACTTCTTTCAGCTGTGGAATTCGAACAATCACTCACTAAACGAATGGTCATAAATTGAGGGCTACGTACATTTAAATTAGTGTATACTATTAATCTAAAAGAGGAATTGATTCAAACTTGCATATGATTATGAGAGTAATATTATTTGTAAGCATACTTCTTCCCTATGATTTCATGTAATTTTATTAGATTGTGTTCCAAGCAGAAATGACATTTTAAATCTCTTTCCCTTCCCCCCCCCTTTCTCTCCCCCTCCCTCCCTCTCTCTCTCTCTTAATAAGTGCAAATCAATTCACTGTAGGACAAAGGATTCTTCTCACATTCTTCATTGGAGATTAGTAGACAGATATTTTTGAACTACCCTTAGTCTAGGGCTAAGAGAGGGAAGTGGTTTATTATATGAATATTTGAATGACCCGATTTTTATTGGGCATTGTATCTTGCATATAGAGCAATACTTCATCTGCAGAAAAAGCAGATGGTAATAGTTAATTCTCTGGTGTGAAAAAAAAACTTCACTGTTGATTTTTTCACGTCAGGCTGCTATAAAATACACAGGAGGTGGCCTATTTATTATTTCTGGTCAATTGGCTGTTTTCCAATTTAACTAGTTCTTCTACCCCCTCCCTCCCTCCCTTTCTCACCCCTTCCCTCCAAATACCTGGTTATTATATTTTGGTGAGGATGGCAAGACTTTTGTGGCCCTAATTTCTAAGCTCCTCAAGAAATTGGAAAAAACATAAACCAGTCTTTTCCCCATTTAAAGGAGAGGAAGTTTTTTTCTTGATGATGTATAAAAAAAACAGGTTGGATAATTTTTGTTTTTTTAAAAAAAATCTTCTATGTTCCACTTTCCAATCCATTTTAGAGTGGAGTTAGAGCAGAAAAAGAAAGTTGGGGAAGTCAAAAATAGGACAACTTTCTTTAATCTCCTCCATGTGGTTTTGACTGCAATGTCCTGAAGACCCATTGCTTGGAATTCTGAGTTTTGCAGTCCCGGTACATTTGGGGTGGCTCTAGATTGGAAGAACCAAAGATGAAGAAATTTAGAACCTTTTCTGGAGGAACCCAAACCCAATCAAAAAAGCAATGCCTTGCGTTCCCATACTGAAGCAACACCTACTTAGCCATAATTCTTCATAAATACCTCTCCTTACAGCCCTCCCCCGTCATCATCTTTCCAGCCAGTGATTAAAACAATGGATATTTCCATAGTTAAACGTTTATCCACTGATGTAGACATAAAAACCACTATTAGTTTCTCAGATAATTCAAAAGCATTTGATGAATTGAGCGGCAAGCAGGTTCCATAAATTCTAGCCAGGTTTTATGAAGATGCCTACTTTGCAGATGCCCGACAGATGTGCATCGCACCAGAAACATTCACACATCTCAAAACAATTATGGACATTTCGTTTCTTTTAAAGCCCTTCAATCCCCATATAGCTTGAATCAGAGATTTAGCTTTTCCTTTCCTCTGTTTTTTTTCTTTTACTTAATATCTGCAAAGTAAACTTAGATTCCCTTCCTATCTCTAGTATTTGTTCCAACTAAATTAACTAGGTGGACCATGTGCACATTCTTTGTGGATGGATAGAATGTTCCCAGGCAACAACAGTGTGCTTCTACACACACACACACACACACACACACACACACACACACACACACACACAATACAATACAATACAATACAATACAATACAATACAATACAATACAATACACACACACACACACAGAGAGAGAGAGAGAGAGAGAGATCCAGAAGGTTGTTCTAAACATGACAATGTCTTTATGGATGAAATAGAGGGAAGGAAAAAAAAACCCAGAATTGTTCCATTGGCAGGGGAACCAGTTTGCAGAAAACTTTTAGAACAATGGTTGTGTACAAGCTGCTTCAGTCATGTTGCTTTGGGAAAATTGCTCCGTAGAGTACAGGTAGCCCTCAACTTATGACCACAATTGGGCCCAACATTTATCTTGCTAAGTGAGACCTTTGTTAAGTGAGTCTACCCCATTTTACAGTCTTTCTTGCCACAGTTGTTAAGTGAATCACTGCAGTTGTTAAAGCTAGAAACTTGGTTGTTAAGCGAATCTGGTTTCCCCATTGACTCTGCTTGTCAGAAGGTCGCAAAAGGAGATCGCATGACCCAAGGACACTGAAACTATTGTCATAAGTATGAGTCAATTGCCAAGCATATGAATTTCGATCCTGTGACCATGGGGCTGCTGCAGTGGTCATAACTGTGAAAAACAGTCATAAGTCACTTTTTTCAGTGCTTTTGTAACGTTGAACGGTCACTAAATGAACTGTCATAAGTTGAAGACTACCACTATCTGTATACATGCCATGAATTAGTGGCATCTGATCAGACTTTGTCCATTCTTAAGAGAGGCCCTGCATCCACTACCTTAAATGGCTGCCTCCTTTCAGGATGTGCCTCCCTCTTTAAGCAAGGCAAGGAGAGGGTCTAGAGACAGCCTCAATTTTTAGAAAGACCAGAATGCTGCAGTTGGCCCTGAAGCAGCAGCTGATACCCTGTTTCCCCGAAAATAAGACATCCCCTGATAATAAGCCCAATCGGGCTTTTGAGCACATGCGCTAAAATAAGCCTCCCCCTGAAAATAAGCCCTCCCCGAAAATATTTAAACGCAGAGCTGGAAATCAGTTAAGACGGCAAGAGGAGCCCCATCTTGCTCCATGCGCGCCAAAATAATAAGACCTCCCCAAAAATAAGGCCAAGTGCTTATTTCAGGGTTCAAAAAAATATAAGACAGGGTCTTATTTTCGGGAAAACACGGGTAAGTCAAATCCTAGAAATATTATCTTTTTCTCAGAGCCTCGTTATTTTCTCCCCAGAATCTCAGTCAGCTTCCTGGAATATCCACAGAAGCCCATTGCGTTGTCTGCTTCTTGTGATGTAAACCAACCCTTGTTTTTCTGCTAGTGCCTTCGAGGACGCAAAGCCACGCTGGAGGAGCTGCAGTCCGTTCATACTGAGCGTCACGTGCTGTTGTACGGCACCAACCCCCTCAGTCGCCTGAAGCTGGACAACGGCAAATTGGCAGGTAAGAGGCAATGTAATGTCTCCCTTCATCCATGGATAGAAGTTGAGGAGAGCCAAAAAGGACTCTCCTCATCTCTTGGAGCCAAGACCTGCCAGAACCCTCTTGCAATCTCTCTGTGTTGGTGTCTCTTGTAGATATGCTCCATTTGATAAATACAATCCCAGGATTAATAGCTGGCAGATGACTGAGATCTAGTCAGTGTTGTGCTAGGGAGAAGAAATGGAAAATCTAGGGTGTTTCAAGTGAAGGGAGTCTTCAGCTATGCTGCACGCTTCTTGCATCATTTATTTGCTGTTTTATTTCATTTATATCCTACCTTTCTTCTAGGGAGCTCCAAGTGGCATAAGAAGACAGTAGTCATTTCTCCTTTATAACTTCAAAGATAATGCAGCCATTGTTTTCCTCTAGTGCTTGAATGAGGACTTCTCCAGTCCAACAATCTTAAACACTGTCTCAAACCCAAGGTCACTTTTGCAAGATGGGGCTCCACAGAGTATCCCATGAGAAGATTCTGTTTGATACATAATAGGAAACATATAAGTATTTTAAATAAATGACAAATTAATTGAGAGGCCACCCCCCTGTCTCTCTCTCTCTGTCTGACTTTTATATGTGCAAAATATCTCTTCAACTACAAGCAGAGCATTCTGCTTCAGATTTACCATACCTTTTATATTGCATGTGCATATCTATCCATAAATATGTGTACCAACAGTGTTTCCCTATTTCTACTCTTCCCCAAAGTGGAAGTATGTCCATATGATATATAGCATGCCCAATTCATTTGAAACTAATTTTAACTCTTAAGAAGTCTACCTCGAAGTGCCATTGGTGGCACAGTGGTAAGATTGCAGTATTGGAGGCTAATTCTGCCAACTGCCAGCAGTTCAATCCTGACTGGCTCAAGGTTGAGTCAGCCTTCCATCCTTTGGTAAAATGAAGATTGTTGGAGGCAGTATGCTGATGATGTAAACCGGTGAGAGAGCTGTAAAGCACTGTGAAGCGGTATATAACTCTTAAGTGCTATTGCCATTGCTGTAAAGATACAAAACATTCTCCAACTTGCCTCTTCAGAGAACTAAAACTCCTAGAGTTCCTTTGAATGTATTCTCCCCCTTTTCAAATGGTTTGTGTGTAGCACTGTGGTACACCAACAATCTGACTCTCATATACTTGGTTACAGCCCCATTGCCTTCTCTCGCTTTCTTGCAGGAATCCTGTCCCAGCGGATGTTTGTCATGCTGCCCTGTGGTGGAGTTGGGGTAAGCGTCTTCTCCAGCAGGCGGGATGGTTTCCATCCAAGATTCCTTCCCATACCTTGTTTCCCATGAAAACAGGATGAAGTTGGTTTGTGCCGACTTTGGATTTCCAAGAAACAAAGGAGGCACAACACTGGAATGCTCAGGGATGGAAGGGAGAGAGTTGGAATGTTTCAAGTCCAAAAAATATTGCAGATGATTGGTCTGCCTATTGCTAACTGGCATAGCCTAGCTGCTAGGCTATGCTAGGCCCTAGCATCTAAAATGAGCTTAGAGAATGTGATCCATTTCATGTCATGTGAGTACAAGGTATGAATCAGAACATGAGGCAAATCTGATATTCAGTCAGAGGGTGGAGTGATATTTCTAGATAGATCTTTGTCACTCAGGCCACAGGGGTCAAGGAGTGCCTACCTCTCTCCTTAGTGGATTTTTATTATTATTATTATTATTATCAGAACTCCTTTTACAGACTTTCTAATCTGGTTCTGGGTGGTTGAGGGCGGCAACTATGCTTTTTCTCCAATTTGTCTTGTGAAGGAAGTTTAAGGACTAAGGGGACAAGCCAAAAGGGAGAGATTCATACCTATCACTTCCATAGCAAGACTGCTGCTTACCCCAACATGCTACTCAATTCTCTCACATCTGGGAGCATTGGGAGAGAGCAGAGGTGCTCCAAGAAACTGGAAAAGGAATTCCAGTAAACTGTCCCACCCACTTGCTCAGTTTCACAATGTTAAGGTCAAAATATTCCTAAATTGGAACAGGATCTTGGCAACTTCTGTTGATGGGCAAGGGACGTTTCACTAAGCCTGTTGGCCAGAGGAAAGTTATCCATGGACCTCCAAATCTGTTTGGACTAGAATCCCCTAGTGAATTAGATATAGGCTCTTTGAAGGCCAACTTCAATTAGGAGGCTCCAGTTGTCTCTAGTAAACTTCACCATGCTGTTCCCCAGGTTATTGTGAAGTCACTGAGTCATATGTGAAACCCACCAGGGTTTTCTGTGTAGGCGTGACAAAGATCTGGCTGTCATGTCACATACCATGTGATGGCCAATGAATTCAGCTCAAATGTTTTGGGGAAAATCTTGGTAAAATGTACACACCGGCAAACAAATATATTTGGCCCATCTTAGCTAAGTCCCTTACTTTTTTTTTTTTAACCTTTCTTCAGTGTGTCCTTTTCTCCAGCCATACACTGTCCTCTATATCTAGTTAATAAGAAAACGATTTGTATTTGAGTAAATATGGGTAGTCCTCAATTTACAACAGCTCATTTAGTGACCGTTCAAAGTTACAACGGCACTGAAAAAAGTGACTTATGACTATTTTTCACACTTAGCGACCATTGCAGCAACCCTATGGTTAGGTGATCAGAATTCAAATGCTTAGTAATGAGTTCATATTTATGTCCATTGCTGTGTCCCACAGTCATGTGATCCCCTTTTACGACCTTCTGATGAGCCACGTAATACGGGGAAGCCAGATTCCCTTAACAGCTGGGGGAACTAACTTAACAAATGCAATGATTCCCTTAACAGTAATTTAATAACTGCAGTGATTCACTTAACAACTGTGGCAAGAAAGGTCATAAAATCGAGCAAAATTCACTGATCAAATGTCTCGCTTAGCAACAGAAATTTTGAGCTCAATTGTGGTTGTAAGTTGAGGATTATCTGTAAAGAACTTGCATACAGTCAGTAGAGTTTGAAGGGGACAATTATACCACTGACACTATTTCCTGACCTAGTAAATTAGATGTCAAAGAGTTCTTGGCTAGATTTTCCATTAGCGCATGATTTGCAGCATTAAACAGATTTTGTGTGAAGAGCCTTTCACCCAGTGAGTTCTGCCTATAGTCTGATGGTATAATCCAGACCTTGGCTGTCTCTATTTAGCAAGAATAGCGCTCCGCACTGCTGGAATGACGATGGTCTATTGCACCCCTTCTATTTCTTATCCCGCTTCCATTCTGATGTTCAGTCCCAGCCTTGTTCAGAAGTATTCCTGAGAAGGGTTGGGGGAATAGGGTTAGATTGGAGAAAATCTCCCTGGCCCCTCCTTCTCTCTGTCTCTTGTGTCCCTCCCTCTGGGCTCTCTGCCACGTTCACTTTCGTTCATCGCCTTCTTGCGTGCCTTTTTTTTTTTCTCACTCTCTTTTTTCCAGGATGCTGCCTCCCCGACCATCCCTCTTCTCCTTCTCTTAACCTTTTGCTCCCTTTCTCTTGCTCTCTGGTTCCTTCTTTCTTTCCCCCTTTCCTTTGTCCTTACTGACGGGGCTTGGATCTTCTCTTCCCCCTCCCTTGCACCCGGAGAGAAAGAGAGGGAGAGGGAGTTGCGCGCCTGGAGCACTAAGGCAGAAGGCAGGCTCTGCTCACACATGGAGTTGATCAGAAGAGAATCTCTGAGGTTTTCCGGCTCTTACTTTGCCGATGACGTGATCCTGATCAAACCAAGATGTTTGTTTTTGAAAAAAAAAAATCAAATAGAATCAAGAAGGTAAAAAGAATGGGTTCTTCCTGCCCCCAACTTTTGCAACTAACTCTAGAGGGGGAGGGGAAATGTGTTGGGAAAGCTCTCCTGCATGTCGGTGTCGAAAGAACTTGTGGGAGCCCAGCAAAGTTGAAGAATTGGGGATGGGGTTGTTGTCTAGCCAGGCTGTTGTTGTGGTTCATGAACGGGCACGTGTTGCATGCCAAGGGCTGCACCGTTCTGATTTGCCCTCAAAAGAGAGGATGTCCATGTCATAGTGCTGCATTTGACAGTTGATTTGATCAGAGAGCCCTGAAAAGAACCCCTCTCTGAAGAAAAGTCTCCTTGGTCCAAAACTAGCGATGGTGTCCAACAGCTTTTCCACTGATTTTCTCCTACCCCATCTCCTGGGAGGTTGTATGTGTGTTTGTGTGCATATACCATTAGTCCATATCGTGGGTTTATTTGTTGCTGTGTGCAGAAATGTAACCACAGGGCCCTTTCTGTAGACTGAACTCTTCTTTGTCTCCTACTGGGTCCAGGTGGACAGTGACACCATTTGGAATGAGCTGCACTCCAGCAATGCTGCCCGGTGGGCAGCTGGCAGCGTGACTGAGCTGGCCTTCAAAGTGGCCAGTCGACAGCTTAAGGTAAGAGCCCTGGTGGGACAGCAAGATAGATGGGGAGTGCCCCTCCCTCACCTCTTGGATTTCTAAGGCAAAAGAGCATGTGGTGATCTCAAAGGGGGTTTCCAAAATGTATTTTTTTGCAGAGATAAAATGCAGAGTTGCATGAACTTCCCATGCACGTCTGTCCATTCTACTCCTCTCACCTTTCAAGGATGTTTTTGGTGTTTTGAGTGCATGCACACCTTCAAGTTAGTATTGAGGTCCCTGCAGTTTTCTTGGCAAGATTTGGTTTGCCATTGCCTGCTTCCTAGGCTGAAAGAGCGTGACTGGCCCAAAGTCACCCAGCTAGCTTTGTGCCTAGGGTGGGATTAAAACTCGTAGTCTTTTGATTTCTAGCCTGATGCCTTAAGCATTGCATCTAATTGGCTGTCTCTTTCAAAAATTGTTTCCCATCATTCTGTTTCTGGTTTCAGAGTTTGGGTGGACTACCATCAGCACCTGGCCTTGTGGGGCAACTGCTGGTATCTCAGCAGGATCTTCCATTGATGATGGTCAGGGAATTAAAAAGTGCCCACATCTTCCAACCTCACATACACATTATCATCCTTGCTGGGTATTCCAAAAGACTGGATAAGCACAGAATCTGGGTAGGGGTGGGGGACACTGCAAAAGCTGAAGTGGTGTATGGAAATAAATATAATTTCCATTAATGATTCTGGCAAGGATAATCAGAGTCCTCTCCCTGCCCCTAAACTGACTTCAACTTGTTATAGCACAGAACAGTTGCACATATACGGCATCTGAAGAAGGGAGCAGGTGTTTCTAGCCCTCTTCCGATTAATGTAACTTTCTGTTAAAAACTTGCTCAAAACTGGATCCTCCAGTGAAGTCACAACTGCAGCTGGTTAAGCAGAAGGACCTTCTGTGGTGACTCCAAGGCTTTGGCAATGGCTTCAAGGAGGTGTAGCAATGGTCTTTGTTGTTGGGCTTTCAAGGGAACAAATGTTCAATTATATTCACAGGCATTTGGCAGCTGAACCTGGGAATGTGTTTTAATTGAACACTTACCCATTTCAGTTGTCAGGCTGAACTGAGAGAGGGGGGGGATGAGGGGGGAGGAAAGGTGGGGAGAAAGAGAGAGAGAGAGAGAGAGAGAGAGAGAGAGAGAGAGAGAGAGAGAAGGAAGGCAATACTGGTCAACGTTTTTTCAGACCTGTTTTCAGCTTTTATTCTCATCTTCTTCCTTGATATAATTGTTTCTTCCTTCATAGAGGAATTCCATCCAGTCAGGAAATATAACATGATTGTGTTGATGTCATGGAATGGTATAGCTAATCAGATTTGACTAGTAATGACATCTCAGAGCGTAAACAAAGCTGTTTTAATTAGAAGTAATATAATAAAGGCCCCTATGAAACAGCTCAGTTGTTCTCACCCTGTGGGACTGATCACATTATGTCTCTTTAAAAACGCAAATTGTTTTCAATTTCTTTTCTTTGGCTATATAGTTCAATGGAATGGGACACAGTGGGGTTTTTTACTATTTTTGAAAAGGACCTCAAGCTTAATAAAAGGCAAGCAAAATAATACAACTTTAAGTTACGTCAGCGGTATTTTGCTGAGGTATGAAAAATGTAATAATAATTATTAAACAGAAAATCTTAAATGGAAAAGAAAAATAAGAGATGAGAAAAAAGTTTAGTGGTATCTTAGCTAGCCTGTCGATTAATGGTTGATTAACAAGCAAGTTTGCTGCTCTTATGTTTTTGGGAAATCAGTGGGACTTGAATTCATCTTGGCCAATTTTTCATATTGCTTTCATTGGGAAATGCATCTTTCTTGCGCTGGATTTAACCTAAACTTTTTTGCCGTATCTTAAATATTTAATATGACCATATTAGTATTATTAATCCTTATAATTGTAACAATGCATGAAATTTCACATATAGTTGTCAATTGATGGAGTATTTTCTGTCATCTAAACAGGAAGGAGCTAGTCTCACACACTCCCCACCAGGTTCCCCAATACCTTCAAATCTTGTCTGGATTTTGGGAGTACAAGTAGTCATTATTTAGCATAGCCTCATTTAGCAACCATTTGCAATTACAATAGTGGTGACAAAATAACTTTATGATCAATCCTTACACTTTCAGGTCTGTAAAGCAAAAGAGAAGCCGAAGTAAGATCATTAAGCAGTCACAGTTTCACTTAGTGACTGCTTTGCTTAATGACAGAACCACTAAACAAGGGCAGCCCTTATAGGGGGGAGGTTGCAGGAAAGAGGATAGGAGGAGAAAATCTCATCAAAGATACACACAACATTAGATCTAGCCCATTTAAATTATTGCTTGAAAAATTTTTTAAAATTTTGAACATTCATGAGTTACGCTGTAATGTTTCAAAATAGAAAGCACTGAATTGCCATGCCTTTCCAACAGATAAAATGATGGTGATCCAACCACACTTAAGCACTTCCATGTCTCATTGGCTTGTTTACATTTTTCCTACTAACATTTAAAGAATTTGACCAGAGGAGCAGTCATATATCATATGATCTCTAAACACGGCTGACCATTGGATTGTAATAAATGCTTTTGTAAGCCAAAGCCCATTCTGAGCATTTGACAAACCGATAGTCAAAATCGGTAGATCTTTTGGCCCTCAACAGAAAAAGACATGCTTTGATTACATTAGGCCCACAATATGCAGTCTCATAACAGGAAGCAACGTAACCACATCTTAATAAGAAAATCCAATTAAAGGATGAAAAAGCCCAAACAGAAGAACAAACCACTAAGGGGGGGAACATCCTATTACTCACCTTTCAGCCAAATAAACTGAGATATGATTCAAATAAATGCAGCTTACCCCCCACCCCACTTTACAGTGACTGATCCGGTTACAGCAATGGTCTCCAATCTTTCCTTTTGATGGACTGGCAAGGGGGCAGGAGATGGGATGGTTCCGTGTGAGCACGAGTGCCTACCGCTTATACAAGTGGAGTTGTGTGTGTGCTTACCCATCACTTGTGCAGTTCAGTTCCAAATGGGCCGCGGCCTGGTAGCTAGGGACCCTTGAATTACAGTAATGCATCCTATTGCTGCTTTTTTCATTTCTACGAAACATTTATTTTAAGCACTGTGCATACACGTAGTCCTCGACTTACAACCACAACTGAGCCCAACATTTACCTCATTAAGCGAAAAATTTGTTAAGTGAGTTTTGCCCCTGCCACTTTTGTTAAGCGAATCCAGGGGTGAAATCCAACAGGTTCTGACAGGTTCTGAAGAACTAGTAGCGGAAATTTTGAGTATTTCGGAGAACCGGCAAATAGGGAATGGGGATTTTGCAGTATCCTTCCCCTGGAGTGGGGAGGGAATGGGGATTTTGCAGTATCCTTCCCCTGGAGTGGAGTGGGAATGGAGATTTTGCAGTATCCTTTCCCTGCCATGCCCACCAAGCCACGCCCACAGAACCGGTAATAAAAAAAAAAAATTGGATTTCACCACTGAGCGAATCCCTGCAGTTATTAAAATTATTAACCTAGTTGTTAAGTGAATCTGGTTTCCCCGTTGACTTTGCCTGTCAGAAGGTTGCAAAGGAGGATCACATGACCTCGGGACACTGCAACCATCATAAATACGAGTGAGTTGCCAAGCATCTGTATTTTATTCACAGGCTGCAATGGTCATAAGTGTGAAAAATGGTCATAAGTCACCTTTTTTTTTTCAGTGCCGTTGTAACTTCGAACGGTCACTATACAAACTGTTGTAAGTCGAGAACTACCTGTACTGATCATGACAACAGTATTAACTGTGCTGTTTCTTTCTTTTTTTTCTTTTTAATATCTTACAGAATGGCTTTGCCGTTGTACGACCTCCAGGACACCACGCTGATCCCTCCACAGCAATGTAAGGAGAACCACCTCTGGGTCTTCTCTCTTCTGAGCCATGGCTTATCTTCCTGATAGACACAAGCCCCTTAGAGTCCTTCATGCCTGTGCTCTCAGTGTTCCACTCTCTGTGACATCACAGCCCCAGTTGGAACCCAGGGGCAGTGGGTCTGATCTTGACCATGGTAAAGCAGTCTGAGAAAGTTGGGGAATACAGTCATAAACAGTAATGGATACATCAGATGTAGCCCTGGATTTATATTGGGTATACCTTAGATCTTACATCTTTTCTATCCTGCTCTATGGAGTAGAGAGTTGGTCTCTGACAGAAAACCACTTGAAGAGACTAGAAGCCAGAGGTGGGTTCCTCTCGGTTCGGCCCAGTTCCACCGAGCCGGTAGCGGTGACGATATGATGTCACCGAACCGGTTCTGCCCCACCCCACCCCCCCGCCCCCCACCCTGCGTTATTCTTACCTTTTATTTGCCCCCCCCAATCTATTGCTGCCTCCTGAGTCCCAGCTGATCGGCTAGAAGAAAAAAACTGTTTAAACTCTTGCCGCGGGGCTTCAAAGGGCCACCCTACAACTGATCAGTGTTAAAAGGCAGTCTGGTGGTAGACCGGTGCCTCCAAAAACAAATGAGTAGACCGGTGCCTGCAAAAATAAATGGGTAAACCAGTGCCTCCAAAAACAAATGAGTAGACTGGTGCTTGCAAAAATAAATGGGTAGACCAGTACAGCTCTGCAAGCAGTTAAAAGCCTGGTAGACCAGTACCTCTGCTAAATGCTAAAGAATTGTCACATGACCATCAAGCCACGCCCACAAAATAAGCCATGCCCACAGAACCGGTAGTAAAAAATTTAGAACCCACCCCTGCTAGAAGCATTTGAAATGTGGGTTTACAGGCAGCTGTTACATATAAACTGGGTTAACAAAATCACAAATGAGGAGGTGATAAGCCGCCTGGGAAAGCAAAGGGAAATAATCAAAGCCATTAAAAAGCAAAAGTTAGAATATTTTGGACATGTGATGCGACACCCAGAAAAATATGGCATCCTTCACTTAATCCTCCAAGGAAAGATTGAAGGCAAACGAGGTCCAGGCAGAAGAAGAACATCATGGCTTTAAAACCTAAGGGACTGGTTTGGACAAAACTCAGCAGCACTTTTTCATACGGCTGTTGAGAAAAATAGGATTGCCAACATGATCGCCAACATCCGATGACAGATATGGCACAAGAAAAAGAAGATACCTGAGATCTGATTAAGCAAGGTGATAAGAGGGAGCAGGCAGAAATAAAGAGAAAACAAAAAAAGAAGACATAGGAAAGCGGGAGATTGAGTCCTAGTATTGCTTTAAGAAACTTATTCAGCTGGGTAAGTTTGGGCTAGTGATTCTCTTTAAGCAGCAGGCAAGGGCAAGCCACTTGCAAACACTCCTGCTAAGAAAACTACAGGGAATTGCCCAGGCAGTTGCCAAGAGTCAACACTGGCTCAAAGGCGCGCACACATTCACACAAATAGGAGGGCACGGTTCCAGTTGCACGGCTATGACAGCTACCTTGATGCTTTTTATCCCCTCTCATAAAATGCCACTGGTAATACTTAGCTTTTTTTTTTAAGCTTCTGATTTGATCTCAGAGCAGCTGCTTTTACCTACAAAGGAAGAACAATTGCTTCCAGAATAAGAAGCATATCCAGATTTTTTTCCCTCTTTTTTTTTTTTTTTAAAAAAAATGACTAGATTTAAAACCTTCTGTCCAGGCTAGAATGAGCAAGGGTAATTTCTTATTTCTATTCCTCTGAGCAGAAAAAAACCCCCAAAACAAGTAATAAAGCTAACCAGCCTCTGCATGCCTTTTTTTAATTTTCTGGATCACAGTAGAAGTCAAGACGAAGAGAAGCAGCCTGCCATCCTCCAGATGTTTTGTCCTAAACTTCACATAATCCCCCTGCCATTGTCCAAATAGTTGGAAGTGAGGCTTGTATCAAAACATTGAGATCTCAAAGTCTTAGGGGCCAGTTTGCCTGGCCCACTTCCAGGTTATTCCATTCCATCTTTCGTTATTTTCTTTATTTATTCTTTTTTCACTCCATTCTTTAGCTAGCCATCATTGTGTCTGTTCACTTTGAGCAGTTCAGTAGGGATTCCTATTTTCTCCCAGAAAATACAATGGAGCCTGCTGATACTTCCTTATTCATAGTTGGGGCAACTTTGACTTCCCACTAATTTACACTGTAAAAATGAGTTCACTACAGTATTAGCATTCAGGATGACAAGTTGCTTGTTTTGTTTTATTATTTTATTTTATTATTTATTTTATTTTATTTTATTTTATTTTATTTAGTTTAGTTTAGTTTTTGTTTTGTTTTGTTTTGTTTTGTTTTGTTTGCACCCATCTCACTATCAATCAACTCTGGGCAGCTATTTGTCTTTCTATAAGAAGCAATTGAGATGCGTGTTGCTGGGTTTCAATGAATTTGTGAAAGTATTCCAACCAAAGCAATGCACCTGAAATATCTCTGCAGAGGTGACCCATTTCCACACACAACATCGGACCCTTTCCGATGTTGCCATTACAAAGTAGTGAATGTGATATTGGAGAAAGAGGCCATTTACCATCCAGTTAAGTCTTGAGCTTGGTTTTTGGCAGGTGGCTCCACCAGCCAAAATGTGTGTCTTTGTAATGCTGAGCCCTAATGCAGCACACGGGTGGAGGAATGCAGCAAACAGCCCCTGTGATCTCTGCAGGACTTAAGGGAATGAGTCCCTCTTGCCCATACTGTAGGATGGGTCTTTGCATGAGGAGAGGTTGGATTACTTTGGGGAGGCTGGTGTGTACCAGTTGGGCAAGATGTCCCATAAATACATTTCCTCTCTATTTTGGTTGTTCACCAGCTTCTTATTCTCCTTGTTCCTTGGCAGGGGTTTCTGTTTCTTCAATTCTGTGGCAATTGCAGCCAGGCAGCTCCAGCAAAAAGGGAAAATCAGCAAGATATTAATTGTCGACTGGGTGAGTTCTTCTTCTCACTTGTCAGACAGAAAATTTCTTGTTAACCCTGTGGAAATGAAAGAGAGAAAAAAACTATCCCCGACCTGGCGCTCTTTTGATCTACTATCCTACAAGCCCTATAATCCCTTCCACCAAGCTGGTTGACTGAAAGTGACAGGGGCCATATTCCCACACCAGCTGAGTTTACCAGTACATGAGACATGGCAAAAAGGGAATTGGGGAGTTGCCATGTTGTGGTAGGAATCACGTTACTGCTATAGGTCGTGTGCTTGTGTACAAGATATTACAGGAATCCAGCAATTGTGTTTTGCTAACTTGGGTTTAATGTTGTGTGTGAATTTGACAGATTGGAGGGCACAACATTGGAGGAAGGCTATACTAAGATATAAAATAGAAGAGCACTGGCAGCTAATGGCTATATGTGTACCAACTTACAGGGTTTATGAGCCACAGTGGTGCAGTGGTTAGAGTGCAGTACTGCTGGCTACTTCTGCTGACTACCGGCTGCCTGCAATTTGGCAGTTCAAATCTCACCAGGCTCAAGGTGGATTCAGCCTTCCAGCCTTCTGAGGTGGGTCAAATGAGGACCCAGATTGTTGAGGGCAATAGGCTGACTCTGTAAACTGCTTAGAGAGGGCTGTAAAGCACTGTGAAGCAGTATATCAGTCTAAGTGCTATTACTAGTGCTATGGAAAGAGTCTATTCTAAATGATGCACTGTAAGCATTGTCTACCTTCAGGTTTCTAGTCCACAAGACTAAAATAAAACCCCTGCAATAAAGAAACAAATGAACCTAACTAAAATGACCCCTCATGATTTGTTTCTCATCCTAGAAGCTTTAGTTCATTTTTTTTTCTTTGAAGATGTTTCGCTTCTCATTCACTTTGAAGACATTTCACTTCAGCTCAGCACTGGGACCTGAAGAAGCTTTTTGGATGAGAAGTGAAACGTCTTCAAAGAAAAACAAGAAAGTCCAGTTGCCTCTTGAAAAAAACACCTTTGGGGCAACTTACAGGCTTCTTACCTTCTCTCTTCTTCCCCCTCAGGATGTTCACCATGGTAATGGGACACAGCAAGTTTTCTACAGAGATCCCAATGTCCTCTACCTCTCCTTGCATCGTTATGATGATGGCAATTTCTTCCCTGGTAGCGGAGCAGCTGATGAGGTGATCTCCTGTTTTACAGCTATCTCGGTTTCCCTAAATTAAAATATTACTGATACAGTACAGGAAAAGGGAAACCCCAAATTTCAGCACAATGTGATTGCTGGTAAATTTTAACCTTGCCAACTTAATAGCATATCTCAAACCACTTGAACCAACTATTAGATCAGGAACTGTTGTGTGCCAGGAACGTCTCTTCCCACCCCTACCTCACATCTCTGTACAATAGAGAAAATGCAAATCCCTGCAAAATGCTCCTGTTCAAAAAATGATTCCTTTCCATGTACTGTTTTTTAAATTATTTATTTTACTGCATTTCTATCTTGCCTTCTAAGAAACAAGATCTGACCACTTTATGCTTTACTGTCCTTATTACCTACAGTCTCTAAACTTCTGTATGTCCTATCTGTTAAGCTCTTCTGTCTGTAGTTGGTAACTGCTTTTCTTGGTTTTTTTAGGTTCCTAGTGGGACTTTTAGGTTTCTTGGACCTCTGCCCATTTAACTTTTCTTTAATTTTACCCACACTCAACCTTCCTAGTCTTTTAAGTCTAATTCAGCTAACAAACATCCCTCTCTCAGAGACTCCATCGTCAGCCTTGTCCCTAAGTACGCTGGTGAACCTCCTGCTCAGTCCATCCATATGGAGCCTTTGTTGGCTCCAGGTTAGAAAACATAGATGTCCCCTTGGAAATTCATCAAAATTTAAACAGCATTGGTTTCTGACTTCTTTTTTTTTTAAGAGATGTTAAAAACTAAATGCATTTGAGGAGCAAAGAAAGTTCTCTGGAGAACTTCATTAAGCTAGAGCTGAACATTTCCAGCTCTAAGAAGAAGACGGAGAACTTTGCCCTAGCTGAGGGTGGGAGGAGGGCGAATCGGGCTGGGCTTTTCTGGTATTTCAAATCCATCATGCTTTACAACCTGCTTTCAAAGGGGCTTAGTGCTGAAAGTGGCCAGGACTGGAGTTGGCCCCCATCTGGTTCTCATCTCTCCCTCCGAGCAGGAGATATCAAAGGGGTTGAAGCATTGTTTATGATGCCGCACAAATCCCTGGGAGACTGTGGCATATCACTCAAGGCTTCCCCCTCCCCACCATCCCCTTTATGGCTGTCCCCCCCCCCTTCATCAGACACACTGTCAGTTTTGACAGTGAGCCCTGCCCCAAAGGAGAGTTGCCATGGATTTTTTTCAACCCCTTCTCTTTTCTTGTCTTTCTCTCGCCCAACTAACAGACATGATGTGCTTTGGAAGGGTGATTGCTTGTCCTTCAGAGAGGGATTTCCTCCCACCCATATCCATTTTCTTCATTTCCCCTCTCCTCCTCCTCTTCCTCCTCTTCGTGGAAAATGCTACCGTTCCCTCTTTCCTTTCACACACAAAGCAAGCTAGGTTCTGGGTTCTAACTCCCAAATGAAGGGGAAGACAGAGAGTTTTCTCTTGGAGTAAACCTCTGTCTAGGTCAGAAGCCTACTACCCAAAAAGCTAACAGAACTATATTTCACATGGAAAAGTTTGCCTGTTCTGTGCTGCATTCATGCCTCGTCTTAAAACATTGGGGCAGTCGCACTGCAGCATTCATTAGCCACAGGCTCAACTTTGGAATGACCAGGTGTGCCAGAAGAGGTTAATAAACACTTGCAAGCGGCCTCCAACATTTATAGGATGCTACACAAGTGTAGTGGAAACCTAACCGCCACCACCATCAACCCCTGAATTTTATAAAATCAGACCTTCTTATTTGCAGGGGAGAAAGAGAAGGAAGATCAGTATACTTCTGCACATGAAAATAACTGAACATTTTTCCTTTGCAAGAACATTTAAGCATGAATGGTGTGAATGGGTTTTAATCTTTTAATTTTAAATGTTTTTATAATGGTTTTTTAAATGCATTGTAAGCCGCCCTGAGTCTCCGGAGAAAGGTGGCATATATGAAATAAATAAATAAATAAATAACACTGCACATGAATATTTTGGAAAACTACTGTTGCCTACACTGTGCATTAGAATAGTACTTCGGATTTGATTCCCAAAGGATACTGTATGTTTGACGTACAGTAAGGCTATGCAGCACTCCAGAAATAGTGCAGAAGGGTTCTTCTATTAATCACTCCAATTTATGATCCTCTTCTAAGGATCACCAATTTAGCATGGAAATTCTTCTATATATAACCTTCACTCCCTCATTAACTGGAAATTGGTTTTTTTGGGGGGGGGGAATCTATATTAACATTACCTAGGAATTATTTCCTGAAATGACATTTGGGGGAGAATTTTGGAATTGATTTTGATGTTTCATCCAGTACAGGAAGTAGCCCAGTTAAATTTATGATAGAAAAACACTTATCCTTGTGATTGGAAAAACCTATGAGTTTCCTTTTCTGGGGCAAATGGAGAATATTTGCTTTGAGTAATTTTTTTTTTTTAAAGGAATGCAGTAAGTAAGTGCTGTATTTCAGAGAAAGAATTCCCAAAGAAGGGGTCATTTAATTCTAAGAGATTTGTGGTTTTGTTAGGGAAAAAAAGTATCTGAATAGCTAAGGATGTGAAATCTGATTTCTTATCATAGGAAAATGTAATACTCGGGCTTCCCTCCCAGTTTATGGTGGTTATGCTTTGTGTTCCAAAGAATGCCTCCCACCCACACGCACCCAAAAATAAATGTTTAGTGCACATGATCATTCACTACGATAAGATCACCAGAAGCAAAACCATAACAGTGGAGTTAAGGAAGCATCCACAAATTGCTATTTTCCTGTTATTGAATGCAGGTCATCTATCCAGTGCTATCAGTATAATAATAAATTTAGGATTGGGATATTTTTAGATTAAGTACCTTGGACATTAGGATCCTCTACATGGCTGCAGTGAGGCTATTCAGTTGATCTGGAGATGCGGTCATCTCAACAGTGGGGGGCCTGACTTGCTCCATGTTTTTCTTTTTCAGGTGGGCTCTGGGGCTGGAGAAGGTTTCACCGTCAATGTCGCTTGGACAGGAGGCCTTGAACCCCCAATGGGGGATCCAGAGTATTTGGCAGCTTTCCGGTAGGCCATCTTGCTTCAAGATTTGATACAATGCCTATTCTTCCAATAGGGCCCTGTTGACTTACGTTGGCAAAGGCTGCTCTGAATAACTTTTTAGCTGCAATGGAACAATTTACTTTTAGCAGAGGGGGGAGGAGGGGAAATGAAGGAAGAAAAGAACAAGCTGAGTTAGATAGATTTCTCCAAGCTGGTGCTCCCCAGATGTTTGAGATGACAACTTGTTTCATCTGGCGTCATGTTGAGGATGATTCAAGGAAAGCATCTGGCAGGTTTGCTCCCACTTTAGGCCAGATTTAAGTGTGCTTTGTTCCTCCTTGCAACAGCTCCTGTGCTAATTCTGGAGCTGAGCTTATCGTTTGATGTAAGATGCGAACCCTTTGCTGCCCGAGCGGCCAAAGATCAGAACTGAGGAACAAAGTAGGCAGTATGATTTATTTGAACAAGTTTACTTTTAGTAGCCTGTAGGAACTTCGTCTAAAGGGCTGCAAGCATGCCTGTTTTTCTTGGCTGATTGTTTTCATCATATGGGACAGGAAGGCAGGGAACGGGGCGGGCAGAACTTCAGAGTCAGGGAAGGAAGCCTAAGAGTGTTTATACTTGGAAGTCAGGCTCATGAAGTCCAGTGGGATTTTTTCCAAATAAACATGATTAAACATAGGATCAGGCTGTAAATCTTTCTTTCCTGGGTTGTCAGAAGTTGCACGCACACCTCCGCTGGTAGCTCTGACACACTTTCTCCATCTCCTCTCCCCACTCCATTGGCCCAAAGTCCTGGCTGCTCCTACCAAACTTCTGAAAACATTAAAGACCAAACCAGTTCAGTTCCTTCTTTTGTGACCCAGAACTGTTATAATATAGTTTCTCCCCAGGATGTGAAGTCAATGACAGAGGCACTATGTTAAGAGTCCTCCCTCCTGCCATCATCATCCCAGTTGCTAAGACCTGTGTTGCTAAGCTTCCCATATACTCGTAGCATTTTTTTTGGGTGGCGGGGCAGTATTCAAGTCATCTTCCCGTTACAGACATAATTTTTCTGTAACCATCCAGTAAGGCAGGTCAATGTTATGATCCCCATGTTTCTGAGAAGACCGGGATAAGAGACAGTAGCTCTGAATAACTGAAGGGCTGAAAAAAAAAAATTATGGTCTTACTCATTCTTAGTTGAGTTTCCTAAGGCCAAATTAGAGGTCATGTCAGGGGTGAAATCCAGCAGGTTCTGGAGAACCGGTAGCGGAAATTTTGAGCAGGTCAGAGAACCGGCAAATACCATCTCTGGCTGGCCCCAGAGTGGGTTGGGAATGGAGATTTTACAATAACTTTCCCCCAGGAGTGGGGAGGGAATGGGGATTTTGCAGTACCCTTCCCCTGGAGTGGGGTGGGAATGGAGATTTTGCAGTATCCTTCCCCTGCCATGCCCACCAAGCCACACCACACCACACCACACCCACCAAGCCATGCCCACAGAACTGGTAGTAAAAACAATTGGATTTCCCCACTGGGTCATGTATGTATGGAGTATGAAGTGCCATTAGCAATTGTGTGGTGCAACCAGTAATGTAGGAAAGCAAAATGGATCTACATCCCATTCAAGAGAAATATTATTTCCTCACCTATTTTAGGGTTTCCGTCTCAAATTTAGTTTTGGAAACTGCCTTAAGGTTGTGGCTATGACAGACAAAGCAACTAAGTGGCTACAGAAAGACCGACCTGAAGGCTGCCTGAAATCTTGGGTCTTACAATTGGTCCACCTTTGCTTTAAAAAAATCATTCCCGCAAATACCGATGCATCTTTTTGGCATTTTGAATTGCTCTGCTGCATCACCGCTCTGTAGCACGCTGAGGAGCTGTGTTCTGGTGAGCCTCTTACACCCCCAAAACCACCCAACCAAGAGTTAGTAGAGCTTGGGAATGCCATATGGTCAGAGCTAGCCTCTCCGGCCTGATGAAGGAGACCCACAGCACTTGGCAGAGTCTCCCTTTTGAATTGCAAGGCCTAACTGTGCCAAGCCTGGGCTCTGGCAAAAGGCCACCCTCCCACAGCTGCCCAGCACATGTGCTTTGATTGCACTTAAAAGGGCTCTATAAATAGTTTCTTTCCCCTACCCCACATAGCCCCACTTTTGCTCCACGCAGAAATGCAGCTCCCAGGCCCCGTGCCTCTTTGAGTCGCTTGCCAAATGCGATCTGGCTGATGGATGAGTTTCTCTTTATGTCCCAGTGGGCAAGATGGAAGGCCTGTCGGGCTCTCCGCGTATGAAGTCTGGGAATGAGGTGGCGCATCAGGGGAGGAGTTCCAATCCAAGCCAGCTTCCTCCCTGACATGGTTGGGCCCTGCTCCAAGCCGCCTTAAACTTCCATTGTCTCACAAAGAGGGCTGGATGGTGGCTTTCTGTGGGAAGAGCACGGGCATGCTTTCAAACTCAGACCAGATACAGAGGCTGAAAAGTAGCCCAAGGAAGTGAGATATTGGTTGACAGTCTGTTCTTTAAAAAAAAAAAAAACAACTCTGCTTTTCTTGGAGGTGGGGAGGAAGCAGAGAAGGAAGTAGCAGTTTTATAGATTGTGAGTTGATGAGCCTGAAATTATACACACAGTGCTTGCTTGATAGTAGAGGATCCAGGAGGTTGGGGGCCGGTGTCCATTGGTCAGGCACCTCTCATGCTGAGTTGCATTCAGTTTACCTTCTCACCAAAGTTATTTTCATCTGTTTAGCTTTGTTTCATATTTTCGTTTGGATTTTTAAAAACTAAGTGCGGTCAAGGGTGGGGGTAAGGGGAGGTTTTATACCTTTCATCTTCCAGAGAGGTTTGGGGTGGGATTTGCTGCTAAAATTGCTATCTTCCACTTGAGCAAAATTGTTTATGTGTTTATTAATGGAAAAAATGCTGAAGAGGAAAATGGAAAAATGCTGGAGGGAGCGGGTTCACACACACACACACACACACACACACACACACACACACACACACAGAAAGAGAGAGGGAGAGAGCGCTCTGTTTCTCCAAGACAGATTCAGCCCTCAAGAATGTATTTGGTATGAACAATTTTTAAAAAGTAATTTCCTGAGGGAAAACTCTATGTGGTTCAGCATCACATGTGGTTGGAAGAGTCATTCTTTGGTCTCCCATTTTAAAAAATTAACTGAATTTATGTCCCATTGAAAGAAGTGGGATGAATTGAGATGGGGGAGGGCAACAGGGCAGGAATTCTCTCAAGATGGCTTCCCTTCCGTTCAGGCAGGGGCCAAATCCAGATTTGTTCAACTTTAGTGTCAATATGGGCCTCAAAAGTTTTAGTGATTTCCATGGTTTTCTAAATTATTTAGTATAACACTGTGCCTAGTTGCATAACGTCTTGTCCTTTCACGTTTATACTTCAGCGTATCATGGAAATGAATTATTGCCATTTTTAAAAATAATAAACAATAAAAGAGATCTAGCAATATTACGGAACTGATACAAATGGAAAAATGCATGTGTAAGATGGTTGCTTTTTTTTTTTTTTAATCATACCCCATCCTGGCCCATCACTGTGCCTAAGCAAGGCAATGATTTATGTTGTGAATAAAAGTCTGACACATCCAAGGAGTCCAGAGAATCACTGAGGCTAACTATCCTGATTTAATTTAATTTCTGAATTTAATTTCATTTTCTCCTCCTTTGCAGGACTGTGGTGATGCCAATTGCCCAAGAGTTCTCCCCGGATGTGGTGCTGGTATCTGCAGGGTTTGATGCAGCCGATGGCCACCCTCCTCCACTGGGGGGTTACAAAGTCTCAGCCAAATGTAAGGGTCCTTCAAGGTGGCAGTTAATCAGTTAAGAGTGATGGACACTCTGATGTGAGAATGAACAGTTTGCTCTTTGCCCAAAGAGAACATCTGTCCAGCTGTTGCCTAAGGACTCTGCCGCATCTCTAGGGCAATACTTTTGAGAGCTTGAATGATCATTAAGTGGGAATGTGCCAGAGAGGACATCTTACCATATAACGGTTTTCTTCAAGTTTCCTTTCATGATTCTTTAGAAGCATGTGAAAGGAAACTAATTATGACAAAGATGAGTTGTGTGTGCAGGCTTTTCTTCTGTAATGCCCAGTTATAGGCTTTGCTTAAAGACCAGATCTTTGCAGATGCAGAGCAAGGACACGAGACAATCCTCCTTGAACATGCAGAATATCTTCTCTAGCAGGAGAAGGGATGTGGAGAGGGTTTCAGGAAGCTAGAAAATTTGGTGAGAGCAGAGTTAGATGACTCGCAAAAGGTTTTCCGTCTGTTCATTTTTTGGGGGGAAAGGATGTCCTCGGTCTCAGCTAGGAAGGGCTTGTAGTCTTGTCTTTTCTCGGAGAGACCCTACCAGAGAGGTCTAATTCCCTGGTTTCTTTTGTTTTCCTCTGCAGGTTTTGGTTATATGACCAGGCAGCTGATGAATGTGGCTGGTGGGGCTCTCGTTCTAGCCCTGGAAGGAGGCCATGACTTGACCGCCATTTGTGATGCTTCGGAAGCCTGTGTGTCTGCTTTGCTGGGTAACGAGGTGAGTGGATTTGGAGCACCCCCCAACCTGTCTCACTTGGTAGAACAAGTAGACACCTTCAGAAAAAAAAAAGTAGTTTCACATATTATCTGATCCTGTGCCATTTTGGACTTTAAAGGAGATGACCAGCTTTTTGAACTGCACTTAGGGGAAAAAACATGGAAGCCAGTGCTGTTCACACAGCAGTGGTGTAATATGGGCAAACCCTGGAGTGACAACAACTGCATGCATCACCAGACTAGTTATAATTTCTGGATGGTCTTCAAGAGCCCATGTAAAGTAGATTTCAATAATCTTACCAGGAAGTGACCAGGACATGAATGGCCAAGAAGATCTTGGATATGGATATGTGCAAAGGACCCCCCAGGCCAGGAAAGAGACCAGCAGACTGTGCCACTCGCCTTTAATAATCTGACAACATTCACTTTATAGATACACCATGTTGGAACATGTGGAGGGGTCATTTCTAGCAACTGTGGCCAAACAAAACTCTACCCAAGTATTTGAGCTGGCTTTAACTAAAAGTCCAATACAAAGAGCTTTGAGCCAAAGAGACTCTTTTGGCTTTTAAAGGGCATATAAGACCAGCCCCAAATAATAACTCGATGAGTCATTTGGGAACCTCATGATACCATCAGTTTCTGGTTCAAAAGATGGGTGCACATAACACTGTCCATGCACAGACACATCCCCATTTTCCCCAGTGCTATTGGAACAGAGTCACTGAGAGGAAAGGGGAAACCATGGAGATCCTCCCCTTGCAGATGTCTGCAGGTGTCAGAAACAGTGATTTTTTTTTATTTTAGAAGGTTCCTTGAGGAGAAAAAGAAACTTTAGTCCCTCTCAGTTCTATAAATGTTAGGCAGAGTGCTTAGAAAAGCTCTCCACCTTAGAAATGCCGATCATGATTACTGATTTTCTGTTCTCATGAACTGTGGCAACCAGTGGTTTGTTCTGCCAGTCAACATCAGGTGGCTACTGGAAAAGCTCAAAGCACTCCTCACAGCTGGGCAAGCCAAGTAATTCGGCTCAGCGGTCTCAAGGAGGATATGGGCTACCGGCCCACAATTCAGAGTGTGGATATTCCTTTTTGGAACATATTGAATATTTGATCTGGATTGAGTCTTGGTCGGTTCACCCTCATCCCAACCATTACCTCACCCGGGCACTGATGCAGGACCTCCACAGCTGCTTCAGATGTCCGAGAGAATTATCAAACTCCCCATTCTTCTCTTGGCAAGGGTCATGCCTCAGGAATGCTCAACAGTCTTTCCAACATCAGGTTTGAATGAAGATCAAAATGGACTGAGAACAATCATTTTCATTCCAAAGTGACTGGAACTGGATGAACACCATTTCCTTGCACACCTTTTCCTAGGACGAGAACGTTGGCCACCGGCCTATATTAATAACTTCTCAAATCCAAATTAGTTTCAATGATGGCTGCTTTTAAATTGGCAGGATTCTCTTCTCCTCTCAGTTTTACAACCTCCTTACCCAGCCAATCATCCCTTCATTGATAAATTTAATCAACTATGACAGCCAAAGATATAGCCCAGGGTGCCTGGCTGCATATCTATAACTTACATCTCCATACCCATTTATCACTCTGTCTTTGTTTTTGCCAACTTCACACAGCTGCAGGTCATGCTTTTCCTTGGATGAAGAGCCTTCCTTATCCTCTCCTCCTTTCCCTATTGATTATATTTTATATGTGTCTGTGTGGGTGTGTATATAAATAAATATGTGGGTGTGGGTTAAATTGCTTGCAGTCCAGGCAATCCTTCCCAGAGGTTTTGTATAACTCATTCTAAACATGCCTCTTTATTTAAAAGAAAGTAAGTCCATCTTAGTTACTCACAGAGAGCTATAACAGGGAAATCCCATTATTTTGTTTATGAAAAAAATGATCCCGCCTTATATAGAGCCATGATACTCTGGTACCAAGCTGTGATCCTTCTTCAAATTTAATTTTTCTGGCCTGCTGGCAGTTTATATATTTATTTATTTATTGGTTCGATTTATATGCCGCCCTTTTCCGGAGACTCAGGGCGGCTTACCATGCGTTAAGCAATAGCCTTCATACTTTTGTATATACCTGCTTAGTAGGGCTCCCCCCCCCCCCCAGTAAGTGGTGTTCTTTGCCTTTCAGCATGCACACCTTAGCAAGGGTACCTTAGCAAACAATTCAGTTGCTGATCCCTTATGGCCTCTTTTCTTGCCTCCTTTGTTCCAAACTTACAAACAAACATTCTTTTATTCCACAGCTTGAGCCTCTTCCAGAAGAGATCTTGCAGCGGAAACCTAGCACCAATGCTGTGCACTCGTTGGAGGCAGTAATCCAGGTGCAAAGTAAGTGGAAGGATTCCTCTTACTGTGAAGTATAGAATGGGCACATGGAAGAGAGGGACTGCTACAAGTAGCTGCTTGGCACTGCAGTGGTCTGCGGGAATGCCTTTGAGAGATAGGAGGAAGAGACACAGAGGACTAGGCAGTGGTTAAATAAGAGGCAGCTTAGCCTGCAGAAATCATGGGACCGTGGCTAATGTCTCAGAGGGTCCCTCCCTGGTGTCCTGGGCCTTGTAATGGCAAGGGGTGACTGATGTATTTTATGTTACTGTAATTTTACAACAATGTTAGTACTCATAGATAGAACTTCTTGTCTGGACTGCCTCTGAAGGTTGACACCAATCTTATAAATCTGAAAATACATCTCTCCCGCATTTGCCTTTGCAGCCAAAAAAGCTAGGGGTGGCCACTTCCAAGACATTTGCCACACACCCATTCTTTTAAAGTGTTTTTTTAATCAGGGCAACATGGTCTACCCAAATATGGGACGGAGCATACTGCTTCCGCTTCCGCCTTTCAGCCCCAATCCAGGACCCTTTGCAGGCAGTCGCTTTCGCGACAAACTATTTTTGTATTAAATTTATATTTACCGACAAGGAATTTACCTTTATTTCTTTGTCGGTAAATATAATTTTAACACACCCATTCTTTTTGTGGGCAAATCTGCCTTTTATCTGCCTAGCTTGCTGCTCCTGTTCCTCCTCCTCCTGTCTCCCAAGGACATTCTCACTGACCATATTTAACAAATTATTGAATGCAATGATACCAGTGGTGGGTTTCTACCGGTTCGCCCCAGTTAGGGTGAACCAGTAGTGGTGGCGGCAGGAGGCTCCACCCATCTGTCTGGACATCATTACAGATGCTTTGCTCACGCACGAGCACGCTCATGGTTCCAAACTGGTAGCGAAGGTAAGTGGAACCCATTATTGAATGATACTATTATTAGTATAGCAGTAATAAAGAAACTGAATGGTACAGTGCCAAGTTGAAGCATGGGAGACTCTGATGCAAGTAAAAAAAAAACCCTCTCAGCCCAGTCTGCCTCACACAGTTGTGATGAAAATTAAAGAATTCCAGGCAAGAAAGATGAATTACCCATGCAATTTTAGGATCTATGGAAAGAAAGGTAGATTCTTCCGACTGTGTGCAGTTTGCAGTCTGAAACTGCAACATTTTTTAAACATTTTGAATTGTTCCTAGATAGCCGAGATCTGGAATAGCTGGAATCCAGCTAGTATTGTGATAAGGGTTAAAAAGCACAGGGTATGTTCCAAACTTGCTGTACTGAGCCTTTAACTATCACCCAGTGCTGTTACAACACATCTGATTTTGTATGGTGGGCATGGAGTTTCAAAACAAATCCCCTCAGTTTGGATCCTTGGATACACTGTATGACTCGGTGAAGGTGGGTCCCTCTGCGCATCATGTGTCAGAGCGGACACTGATCCTGCCTTTTCTCTTCTAGGCCAGTACTGGAACTCTGTACGTCGTTTTGCCCCCACTGTGGGGTATTCGGTTTTGGAAGCCCAGCGTCATGATGTGGAAGAGGTGGAGACAGTGACAGCACTGGCCTCACTTTCTGTAATGGCCGAAAAAAAGTGAGTGTGTCTCTTAATTATTAAAACCACCAGTCTGCAATGTAGCTATCGGGAAAGACAGGGGTATCAAATGTTGAAGCCAGTCCGCCAAGGCTAACTTAGCAGGGCGAAAGGTGCTTCTGAAGTCAGATATGTCTTGGGCAACAGCACCAATCAAAGGCCAACCCTGTCAGATGCCCATTTTTATTTTGAAGAACTATTTGCCTGTTGGAGCATTTTAATTCAAAGCTCCCTGCCAAAAGGGCAGAAGGAACGTTCCCCATTTTACCAACTGCATGCAGCTCCACTTTCAAGATGTTGGGATGTCTCACAAATTGGTCTTGAAAAATAGCTGTGGTGCATCTGCCTATAAGATGAGCTGGGTCCAAGTTGCAGCTCAGGGAGGTGTGCAGAGTTGATCAAGTCTGACCGAAAGGGGAGAGCCACCGTTTTGGACAAAACAGCATCATGAATAACAACGTTTGATTGGATCTGGGAAACTGTGCTCTCCCCCTGGGCTTGGGTCCAGTCTACCTTTTAAGTTGGAAGGATGGTGTTTAGTGCAGCAGCTGTGTGGTCATGTGGAAGAAAGATGGCTAGGGAAGACAGGGTTTGCCCAAACTAATTAATTCCTACTTATTTTACTTCAGTCCCCCTAATTAAAAATAAGAGCATGCTCTCCAGAGCCAAAACTAAGGGGCTGACCTTTATCATGGAACCATCCCCAAACTATTATTATTATTATTATTATTATTATTATTATTATTATTATTATTATTATTATTATTATTATTATTATTTTGCTTTAATTTATATGCCGCCCTTCTCCGGAGACTCAGGGCGGCTTACAATGTGTTAAGCAATAGCCTTCATACTTTTGTATATTTATACAAAGTCAGCTTATTGCCCCCACAATCTGGGTCCTCATTACACCTACCTTTGAAAGGATGGAAGGCTGAGTCAACCTGTAAACATGTAAATACTGTTCCATACTGTTGTATTTGGGGCAATTTTTGCTACATTCTGCATTTTTGGGAAATCCTTCAAGGGCAACCCTATGTGAGATACATCTCAGACCTGCATTAAGATGCAATTGGTGATAGGTAGGTCCCTGGAACAACTCAGCTTTCTGACAGACAGATCTCTCTGCTATCCTTTGACTCCCTCCCACCTCCCAGAACTATTCAAGCAGGACTTGAATGTTTGACCAATTTATCTCCAAGCAAGTGACATAGCTTAGATTTGATCAGTGTTTTTTCCTAATCCTTAACATCCTGGCTTCTTCTGTTTTAGGCGGCAAGGAGAACCAATGGAAGAAGAGCCCATGAACCAATGAAGAGCTGTTCTATCCTCCACCAAGAACACATCATTCTTTGTGGCTTGTTACTTGTATCACAGTCCTGGCTCCCGTCTGCCGCACAGCCCACATTATCCTCAGCCACAAAGCTGGAAAACTGACTCCCAAGTGCAGGCAGAGAGGCTCTGTAGAAGAAGGCATGTGGCAGACCTTCCAGGATGAATAGCTACCCCTGGGGTGTTACCCACGTGCACAATTCTGCCAACGCAAGCAGCAGAAACAGAGGACACAGGAGAGCAGCTATATGGACTGCCAAATTGGACATTTTACTCTGATATCGGGGTGGTGCCTTTCCCCTCCAGAACCAAAGATGTCCATAGAGTGATCCTGCTGTACAGGAGCCCAAGTCATTCTCCTTTTTTTAAGCAAAACTTGGTTCCTCAGTTGAGGAGGTCCCATCATCGAGGGAGCTGGACTGTGCATGGAGAGAACGTTCAGAAGACAAACATTGGATGTCAGACAATAGCCAACATCTTTATAGGACTGACCCAGCCCAGTTCCTACTAACCACTGTCCTAATTACACCTTTTTGGTCTTGGACCTTCTTAATTTGCACTATTACACAGATCACACAGGCACAAACTTTGTTCTACCTTCCATAGGATTTTGTGGGAACAAATTGCACCTCCTTGTGGACTTGAGTCCTTGACTTGACCATTCCTCCAGCATCAAGGCACTATGAAAATGGATAGCCCTGTGGTGCTTGTGACTGGTTGGTTTGTCCAGATCCATAAAAGTAGGCAGCCTTATTCCAAAGAGTAAACTTCAGGGGTGGGGAATGGGGGATGGATGCTGTCAGCAAGATAGATTGTTCCTCTATTATCCCAACCAGTATGTGGCATTTGAATTCCCTGTAACTTTCATTTCTTGGGGATTTTTTTTTTCTGTACCTGTTAAAACAACAACACAAGTGCCTATGCAAGGGCCTTATTATTCAAATGAGGAGTTAATACCTTCCATAGCTATCCAATCTTTGTGGGATAATGGAAGATAGCTCATTCTAATTTGATCAGAGAGGCTGCTGCTGGCACAACCACTTTTCTACGGATGAAAGGCAGTTCATGTGAAATGTGCATATCTGTTTTGCTTTCGTATCCATTGCTGTCTGCATGTGCTGGAAAGTTGCGTTCAGTCGCAGCCTCCCAGCGTGTGAGTGAGAGGCACCCATGACAACGATCCACACATTCCTAAATTGAAGCATCTTCCACACGGGACATTTGTCGTGTTCAAAGGGGGTCTTTCTTACTGTTCGTAGTGAGATTGTGTATTTGGGTGGGGGGGGAGGCCGGGCAAGGTATGGAAGAAGGATGTAAAATATATACCATGTGCTGGATCTAAGCCACCCAGTAAATTGAGCCTTTGCTATAAAGTATGTTGCTTTTTTTCCCCCCTCGCAGCCAAAAGCAGCATTATTTTTCAGATATTTGACGACATTGACATATACATTCAGATTCCTCCAGCATCAGCAACACAATGCAAATCTGTCCTGCCACGCAGCAACGTGAATCTTCCCACTGTAGCTCCCTCCTGCCACATGGATCATGTGGGGAATAGATGAAGCAAGACTTGAGTTGGAATGCTATGTATAGCAGCGTTTTTTAAAAAGCACCTGAAGAGACAGCCATTAGTTTCATACGTGCAGATAATGGATTTCTTTTTGCTCAATGTCTTTTTTTTGCATCTGGCAGATTCTGGTGCTCTCCCCTCCCAAATGAAATCCGTGAGTAGAGAAATTACAATGCCATCCCCAGACTGACAGGATCTAATGATCTGGAGACAGATTGTGTTGTATCAGATAAAAAAATGGATAGTGCAATTTCTTGACATTTTAAGAAAGTAAAACATACAGCATTGAACATGATCGTAAACTAGACTTCATGTGGTTATGAGAGGTGGAGGGGGGGAGGAAAACTTCAGCTCCATCTGAAAACCAGGAAACCCCTGATCCTACTTACTTAAGTTCCTCCAAATGGTGAGTCTGGATTTGAAATGTTAAAGACAAACTTCAAGGGGTCACTTACAACAGTGGTCCCCAAGCTGTGGGGATGGTGGAGAGGGGAAGGTTCCACAGTCCCATTCCAAATGGGCCACAGCCCAGTACTGGGCCGTGGCCTGGGGGGGGGGGTTGGGAACCCCTGACCTACAACACTTGGCAAGCTCTGGAACAGATAATTTATAGAAAACAGAGAGATAGCTATCGTCTATCAGGTGAGAAAAATCTGCCCTTTTACCTCTTTTTTTAAAATCAATGAGAGCGCAGGACAAAAGAATAATGGTATAATTTATTGATTCAATTTACTTCTGCGAATTCAAAGCGTCAATCCACCTGACTATTCAACCATCCTTTGGGCAGGGGAACAATTACCTCCAGGGTTGTGTGCGCTGTCTTTGTGTGAAATATAGGATGGTTCACATGTGCCACACTTCTATGACAATCTACTATTTCCCCCTCCCCCCAAAAAATTCAAGGGTCCAACTCTGGGCAGAGCACATGTGGTGCCACAGGAAGGGAAGCAAAGAAGTATAAAAAACCTTTAATTGCTTCCAAACAAATTGCATGTGCAAACAAGCAGGATCAGCGTACTCAAAGAAAAGTGTGATATTTCAACATGAACTAGAAAAACGGAAGTTATAAATCAGTCTACCCATGATGGAAAATATTCTAAGAGTATGGGGAAAAACATACCGTACCTTAATGTAGCATGAATATTGATTGCTGGAAGTTCCAGTGTCCCTTTGCACATTCCCAAGTTCACATCGCCTTTGAAGAGAAGGATGAATAGAAACAAAAGATGAGGGGTGGGGGGTGTTTGGTTGTTTTTAAATCTTAATTGTAGTAGAGCCTTCCCCAACCTGGTGCTCTCCAGATGTCTTGGGATTCAAATGACAAATCACAAGATCAAAATTGTGGGGTGGCAGATGAGGGAAGTTTCAATATATGGTTTCCTTGGAAATGATTATTTGATTGTCCTTGAACCATATCAGTAATACAAGTAAAATAAAAGGCAGCCACAGATATTTTGAAGTTCAGCTAGTGATACCTAACCATTTGTTAATCGTGCTCATTAAAATCTATTAGCTGCACTCAATCCAATTCAGCCCTGCCCATTTGGAAGGACATAACTTTAGATCATATTTCAATTGCATTAAATGATTTAATAGATCCCATACACATAACTAGAGGGGAAATGGGTATCGTAGCTTGGCCAAGCCACAGAGAAGATGATGCCCTAATGTCTCAGTTAACCAATGTCCTGCTCTGTAATTCCTTTAATTGGCATCTTTCATCTTCGTCCCATGGTACTAGCTTTGCATGGGGAAATGCCATTCTTTTCTAACAATTCTTTGAAGCCTATTAGTCAGAAAATCATGTATAAGAAACAGCAGGGGTGAAACGTTTGGAAGAGAGGACTTACAGTCTGGAACTGCAATAGAGCACATGTAGGAACTAAGAGGCCCAACAATACCTTCTGGTGCTCTTTGTGTTTTCCACCCAACTTGTTTTGATTGGTGGTTAAGCTGTAGCCTTTGTCATTATTTGGAAATACCCATAGATTCACCTCAGGAAAAAGATGAAGATGACATGGTAGAAAGCTTCATGGGAAGCGTGTGTGTCTGTGTGTACTGGAACGAGTTTACCAGTATGTCTCCTCATAAATTGATATTTTTTTTATTGGCCATACTCATAGTAATAGATATTTTATGAGAATACCAATAATATGCATTAAAAACGTCAAATGTTGGGGGAGGGGGTCTTCTGATTAAACCAGAAACCCTGAGAAGAAAGCAGTGTTGATGTACAGAGGGAAAGGCCGTAAGAGGATTACATCTGTCATTCCATTATTCAGTCTGAATGATTGGTTAAGTTTCGTATGATGTCACAACGTTTTTAGTTTCCCTCTAAGTTCACAAAGGGCGTTAGTTTTCTGTGATGTCATGATAGTATCTATAAACTGCTCGGAGGTGGTATTCAGCAGGTTCTGACCAGTTCTGGAAAACCGGTAGTGGAAATTTTGAGTAGTTCGGAGAACCAGTGAATATCACCTCTGACTGTTCCCGCCCCGCATCTATTCTCTGCCTCCTGAGTCCCAGCTGATAGGGAGGAAATGGGGTTTTTGCAGTAACCTTCCCCTGGAGTGGGGTGGGAATGGAGATTTTACAGTATCCTTCCCCTGCCACGCCCACCAAGCCACGCCCACCAAGCCTTGCCACGGCCACCAAGCCATGCCCACAGAACCAGTAGTAAAAAAATTTGAATCCCACCACTGAAACTGCTACAAAAAATAACAAGGAGACTACTTATCTTATCCATTCTATCATATATGTGAAGATCTCAAGCAGGTCTTTGACTGGGGTCTGTAGGAGATGACCAGGATGACCCCAAGGAAGGGGTCAAACATGACATCAGTCATGAGTTCCTTGGTACCCACAAGAGTCCAGCCCACCTTGAATTCCTTATCTACCACCAAATCGCTTTTGACCATTATTAGTTCAGATTCTTATAGGGAGTTTAAGCTTACAATAAATCTTTATACCCACTTGAACTGTCTAGATCAGGGATGTCAATCTCAAGGTCCACGGCCGCATCCAGCCCATGGGGTGCTTAGAGCTGGCCTGTGGGGCTGCCCTGGAAACAGCAAAGGACCGGTACGCAGTGTCTCTGCCAGTGAAAACAGAGCTCGGGAGGGCCACACGCAGCCCTCCCGAGCTCCGTTTTCACTGGCAGAGGGTTGCAGGAGACTGTTGCATCTAAAAACAGAGATTGGGAGCCCATTTTCACTGGAGAGAGCTCGGGCCACCACAGGAGTTCTCGACATGATGACCTTGAGCTGGCTATTCCCACCCTGGCCCCAGAAGTCAAACACAACCCTGATGTGGCCCTCAATGAAATCGAGTTTGACACCCCTGGTCTAGATCTCCTGATTTCCCCGTTGCTTGAGAAGATCCTGATCAGAGAGAATAGAATAAAATACATTATTCATTATTGTTGACCCTTATACCAATTCTCAGGGTATGTGGGGATGACCTTGGGAGACTGGCCCAGAGATTGTCTGGGGAATGGTCAAGTAAAGGACAGCTGGCTAGTAGGTAGGCAAGAGGCTCAAAAGAGACCCTTTCTAATTTTGTGTGTGTGGGGGGGGTCTTAAGGAAACAGAGGGAGATTGTACTTTTAGACTTGCAAGACTCTGTTAGTAGCTTTATAGTAAAGCAAAACTAGCTAATTTGATCATGTTTCCTGTAGGTCTACCTGGTAAGGCCAAAATCACAATCTTGCTAGTCTAAAAGTACAACTATTCCCCTACCTCTACATAGCTGTGGATTATGCTGTCTTTTTTTAATTGCATTTTTACAATTAAACGAATGTTACTCAGATCTTATGCATAACTGCGACCATTTACATACCATAACATTCCAATTCAAATATACTCTATACATTTTTACTATACATTTTAATTCTACTTCTATTTTGTCTATTCCTTTCCCATTTTTCTGTTCTCAATCCAGTCATATCACTTCTCCCATATTGCATAGTATTCCGAATCTATTTGTCCTTTCAGTTCAGTTGCCAGTTTGTTCATTTCTGCATAATCAAATATTTTTTTAATTATTAAACCTTCGAAAGGTATGTTTGTATTTCTCCAGCATTACGCAAAAGCTATCCTTGCTGCGGTTATTATGTGTTATTATGTGTTATTATGTAAACACACAATGGATTATGCTGTCTCTTATCTGACTATCCACTATGCAGAGTCTCTGGACCAGCCTCCCAAGGTCATTCTCACATTGCATTGTTCACATAAATGAATTCAAGTGTATTTACATATACTAGGATGGAAATGGGAATTGATTCTAGAGAAATGGTGTACATATTACTGATGTATGCATTGCACTTCACTGTTATGTGAAGTTGCTTTAAAAAGAGACAAGATCATTTCTATAACCAAAGATAAATTCTATACTACAGTTGGGCAGTAGAAAACTGGACAATCAATATATGGCAGCAAAAGGTTGGTATTTCCGGTTGCTATCTCATGGCCATCCAGATAATTGATCAGGTATATGATCACACTAATGCAACTCAAAGGGTATAAACTTCATTCTTCGTGGAAATGCACAGTCTATAGATCAGCAGATCATGTTTAATAATATTTCTATTAGGATCATGGGAAATGGTCTATAGCATACACAAAAAAATAAAAGAGTGAGATGGAAGAAAGTTATATTTGTATTTGCCAAAAAAAAATAGGATAAAGATACTTTGGAAATAGCAAATCAAAGTTTGGGAACGCCATATGCCAAGACAACATGGGGCGCAGGGTGGGGACAGTGGAAATGGAAGATTATGCAAGAAAATGAAAAGTGTTAGGG